CACCGAATTCTCTTATTTTTAATAGTAGGGAATCGTCTTGTTCATTCCCCTCAGAAGGTCTTCTGAACTTCTTCGGACATCTTAAACACATCGAAAACATCGACATTGAAAACTCCTGGCACTCTCAGGATGAAAATGTCACGGCTACAAATTAAAAATAGTTGGCAGGTATAGGATTTACGAGGATTTACCCGATAACAAGACAAAGGAAACTGAGATGACAACTTCTCGAGATGTAAAATCTGAAGACTATTTTTTGCATTTTTCCCTGCAAAGTGCTGTGTATCAACAACCAGCCCTCCCACCTTCCGCCCCGATAAACACAAATCGACCAAGTCCCCAAATTATAGAGCGTTTTCACTCACGTGCTCAGCAGCTATGCCAATTTATTGTCAGAGAAGGAAGTTTTTATATATGAATAGTGTTCAACTCCCACAGGACTAGTTTGGATCACACAACATGGCCGCCGTTTCATTGTTTTGGAACACCAATAAGGCGCACGTGACGTCATGTGAAAACGCTCTATATCATGGTTTCGGCTTAGGACATTACATTCTATACATGTATAAAGTGTTAAATGAGGCACAGACCATCAAAATTCACCTTGAAGATCAGAAAAATACCTTTATCACTGATCGATGAAAGATGTGCAGGAATGCCCCAGAAACCACAGACAACCCAGACTTTGTGGGAGTTCGTTAGACTTTGAATTTATAAGAGAATGTGTGAAAATAAATCAAATACGTCCAAAGTTCCATTTTTTGACAAGAATAGAAATATAAATGACTCACCCTGTGGTTTTGTTTTGTTATTAACAACCGTCTCTTTGCTTCAAGAACCATTTGGAAGCCATTTTGATTTGTACTAACAATAAGATGGGACGGTTGGCGAGTCTGAAGCCAACTGTCCAAACTCGAGGTCCATAAATCCCATAAAAATAGTCTTAACTCTCCGAAATTGCCGTTAAGGGATCTGCGATGATTTGTTTTTCCCTTCTATCCTTCTGGAGTCTCAGGTTTCATCAAAACCGCGGGCAAAGCGCTTGATTTTAAACATTTTCTATCAGAGTTTTTCTTCCTCGCGATGTATGACCGGGCAAGTTCGGGCAACTCGACATCACGTATTCCCTCAAAGCTTACGTCACAACGGCTATTTTTCACTCAAGCAGCGATCTACAGTTGAGACTGTAAAGTTTAATTCTGAAAAAAAAAAAACCTGTTTGCATAAACTTCAAAAATAAGACAATCAGATTAGAGCGCCTAAAAGCACTGTTTTTAATTTATTTATAAAATGAAACCGAAAGGAAATAAGTTCTTCTTAAAAGAACTGTTTTAAAGACTCTGGAAGGTTAACAGTTGAAAGTGAAAGGGTTAGTCCAAACAGTGAAATCAGACCTCTGAAGTGAAGAAGACTGATCTGTCTGACTGTCTGCAATATGAGTTGCTGTTTTGAATCCTTGGGGGTCTTTTCTTGCCTTAAAAAACATCAGTCCGAGGATTTTGTCGACTTTTGAAGGATAGTTCTCTACAAAAATTGGAAAAACACTGAGTTCACACATTATCCAATCGCTCGGGGAGGTGAATATTTAACAATTATTCCTCGATCCCTCAGAGGCCACGAGGGCGAGAGAAATAGTTGCTTTAGTAAAATCCAACCAGTTGCTCAAAAACATCGCGAAAAAATGACTTCAGCTAGCAAAACGCAATTCAGCCGCCATTGTTTTGGCTTCCAAAGCCGGCGCTTTTCGCTACTAGTGGGCTATAACATATAGCCTAGTAGTAGATCAACCAATCATAATAGACCACTAGTTGGATTTTACTAATGTTGAATAGCCCGAGATAGTGAACCAATCAGATTGCTCAAATCATCAAGATCACTAAGTGTGTATATACTAGTTTGTATTATTATATAAACCCCAACGAAATACCAGTTGACCTTTCGCGCTAACTGCATAATGTAACTTTTAAAGCATAAAAATGTTTGCCAAAGCTACCAAATCAATGTGCTATTTGACGCAATGTACCGGTACAAAATCCAGAATCGTCCAAACAAAACTCCCACAATTTTTGTTGCTTCTCCTGAAAGATAATGCCTCATAGAAGATGTCTAGTGTCATCTAGTGAGTGAATAGAGTATTTTCTGCTTTACAGGTCCGATTGTGGACAAACAAGGCCGGCCATTACATGCAGCTTTCTTCACTGGTCAAATTGGTTTTCATGATCTATTATTTGTAAGTGAACTATTTTATGGTCTGATGATCATGCAAGCTGTACTCTAACAGGCAAACCTCCTCAACCATGTGACACCAAAGAGACAGGGCCTAGTGTCTATATTACTGAGGTTTTGGTATCGTAGAGGAATGAAATACTGTTACAGGAAGTTTGGTATTTGTATGAAGAAAACTGTCCATTTAGAGAGGCACACATAAAAAAGGCTCGGCCGCGTTTAATAAACATTATTCAGCACTTGAAAGCATCTTTATAATGGTACACAATGGATTGTACCTTTGTAAAAAGAGACTTTATGATTGTAAACTCAAATGATATAAACAATGTTAAAGGAAACTACTGTATAGATCTTCAGTGTTCACACAACCAACAGGAAAGATGTATATTCAGTGGTGTTCTGTCTCTTGCACTATGAAGATCAGGTTGCACACTACTAATTTGTCACATAGTGGAAGATTCTTGTCGTGTGATTCTGTGAAGTGTTACAGAAAGGGAGTCGTGGCAATAAACACTAATGAAATACCAGTTGACCGTTTGCGCTAAAGCATGATGTAACTTTTTATCTAATTAGTAAAAAATATAGCCTACCAGATAATAAAATTATGACGTTCTATTATATTTCAGTAGCCAACTTCATTTAAAAATATAAGAGCCAATGAATGTGACTCTAATCTCGCATGATTTTTTCTTATTTTAGGCCTCGGGAAGAAAAAAATTCGTTAAAACAATATTGTTCAATCGATCGTAGTTAATTAAACCAGCGATTTTGTAACTAGGGTCCATAGGGATTTATTCTGGCTGTTCTGAGTTTGAGGCCAGGTCATTTTTTCACTATTTCCACGTCTAGTTGACTACCACGACATCGACAGCGGGGGAAACGTCGTTTTTAATAAAAAAGTTAATTCTCGTTCTTTTAATCTTTTTTCGCGGTCATTCCAACTTACTTACTCCGTCAAATGAAGGCGAAACCTCCTGAAGTTGAACTCCTAAGAACCATGTGAAGGTTCAAAAAGAGAAATAATTTTGTCGTCGCTTTTTTACATCCTCCATGAAACGTGAAATAAAGGCATTTTAACGTCGAAGTCGTGCATTTGACGTGAAAAAAAAAAAATTGTGTTGCATGTGCAAAGTTGTCTTTCTTTGCTAGTTTAAGCTAGTGTCTAGCCGTGTTGCCCTTCCCAAATGGTAGGAGATCATAACTGGCCGTGGTGTGGAGTGCGTAAGTATTTGACAGTACTTTGTACTTCATTTTTAATGCTTAATACGCCAGTGTTTAGAACAGAATTGTAAGATATACGCATTCTGTTCGTTTTCAGTCATCCTTGGCTATTTTTCGATGATGAGCCACAAATTTGATATCGGGCATGACACCCAAGTGACAATACATCCAAGATATAGTTGTCTGGAAAAGAGGATAAGGGATAACATCTCAACAAATGGTGGGAACAGGGCTGGTAAAACGCAAGCAAAAAGTGCATCACACTTTTTTTCGTTTGTAAATTTCCACCCCGCGCCAGAGGCCGGGGTCACTGCACGACTTCAGCAAATTTGAAAAAACGCGAATTCACTTTTCAAGCGACGTTTTCACCACGGTCACTGTTGTGGTATATTGGGCCCCGTCCACACGTATCCGTTTTTGTTTGAAAACGGAGACTTTTTTCTCCGGTTTGGCCCACAAAAAATGTAGTTTTTTAAAATCGCTCTCTCTCTCGTTTACGTGTGGATGGACGAAAACGCAGGTTTTCGAATACGATGATATAATACGTCATCTTCCAAAGCATTACGCATGCTCTGTGAGGGATGCTATCGTATTTCCATTGTTTAGCGTTTTCGCATGGACGGCCGAAAACGATTCGAATACGCTACGTGTGGACGCGTATTTTTTTTTGAAAACGGAGGAGAAAATCTCCGTTTTCAAAAATATCCGGATACATTTGGACGGGGCCTTAAACTCCCCACTTGTCGACGCCTGACGGAAAAAACTACTTCCGGTCACCGTACTAGACGCTTCCATCGTCCCTGATTGCTTGTGTTCTACTCGTCTACCTTTCTATCAGTATCGAAAAAGTTTACCAGTGCTAGATACATGTATTACTTTTAAAACAGTACAATATATAGAGTACAATATAAATCCCATCAAAGAATTCACACTAAATAATAATTCTAAACTCTGTTTTCACTAATCCATCTGTGTTATTAGAGAGATTTAGAGTGACGTTCACGACAAATGTCAGATAGAAAGTTAAGAATATCTCAAAAAAGAAAGTTTGCTGACAAAATCTGTCCGGGACAATTCTTATGGACAAAAATATCTACAGCTGAACCTCCATTAAGCGGCCAGTGATCAAAGTCCCGAAAAAATTGTAGAAAAGAATGGGAAATTAAACCTCTATTAAGCGACCGCAGCAACCAATCGAAAGTTTTCCCCTTGTTGTTAGATTACATTTGGCTCTATTTTAAGAACATGATGGAGGAAAACAGTCCGAGATAGAAGGTGACGACGGATTGTGGACCAGTTATGTCGCCCCCGTCACGTGTTGGTTTAAAATAAAGTGATGTTTCTGCGAAAGATTATGCTAATTTATGACCCAACTTATGACGAAAATCTGTTGAGTGGCCAACCCCCATTACGCGGTCACTTGTGGGTTCCCTGAGGGTGGCCGCTTAATAGAGGTTCAACTGTATAGTAAGTGAAAACTTGGTCACGTGGTTGATTTACGTTTGCCGTTAGTCGTAAACGTGACTCTAAATCTCAATTGATGCATTGTGTACTCACTTCCACCAACACAGAGGCTGTTGTTTATAAAATTCAACGGTTACTAAGGAATTGTAATTGCTTGCCTCCGCCAATGCAGTAACATCATGAGCATTAAGGTCATTGCCTGACAGATTCAACTTCGTTAGTGTTGAATTGCGTTTGATTGCTTCCGCTAGTGCAGTACAGTCACCAGTACCAAGTCTATTTAATGACAAATCCAACTGTGTTATTGTTGAATTGTGTTTGATTGCTTCTGCCAGTCCAGTCCAGTCACCAATCCCAAGTTCATTCCGTGACAAATTCAACTGTGTAATTGTTGAATTGTGTTTGATTGCTTCCGCTAGTGCAGTACAGTCACCAATCCCAAGTTCATTCCGTGACAAATCCAACTGTGTTATAGTTGAATTGTGTTTGATTGCTTCCGCCAGTGCAGTACAGTCACCAGGATCAAGTTTATTCCATGACAAATTCAACTCTGTTATTGTTGAATTATGTTTGATCGCGTCCGCCAGTGCAGTACAGTCACCAGTACCAAGTCTATTTGATGACAAATCCAACCGTGTTATTGTTGAATTGTGTTTGATTGCTTCTGCCAGTCCAGTCCAGTCACCAATCCCAAGTTCATTCTGTGACAAATTCAACTGTGTTATTGCTGAATTGTGTTTGATTGCCTCCGCCAGTGCAGTACAGTCACCAGGACCAAGTTCATTTAATGACAAATCCAACTGTGTTATTGTTGAATTGTGTTTGATTGCTTCCGCCAGTGCAGTACAGTCACCAGTACCAAGTTTATTCCATGACAAATTCAACTCTGTTATTGTTGAATTATGTTTGATTGCGTCCGCCAGTGCAGTACAGTCACCAGTACCAAGTCTATTTAATGACAAAGCCAACTCTGTTATTGTTGAATTGTGTTTGATTACCTCTGCCAATGTAGAACACTGAAAACAATTATTACCAAGGGCCAAGGATGAAAAGTCCAGCTTTGTTATTTGAATATTTGAGCCAAGGGAACGAGATAACAGCACATGAAGGGAAGAACTTGTGTCGTTTCTACATTCACCAATGCACTGTAATGCGAAAAATAATTCATCGTTATTGTGTACCTCTTCAGCAATACTGGCGATCAAAGGCTTTACCTTTTCAGGTTGTGAAGCCAACAGGCCGCATGTGAACAAAAGCACTTGTCTGAGCTCACAGAAATATCTGGTGTCTGTAATTATGTTTTCTGGACAAACTTCGTTATTTAGAACCTGGCAACAGAGGTAAAATGCTGCAAAAAGTTCCTGAAATGTTTTATGTAAAAAGCAATAGTTAAGAGATGGTCGCACTTTGCTCCGGCCACACTCCACGGACAAAAAGCCAAATTCAGTTAATTCGACTTCACAATTTTCAAACTCGCTTTCGTCGAAGGACATGCTTTTCTGAAGGAGGCCCTTCAACGCGATCGAGCCAAGCTGTTTCAGTTGAGTCTTGTATACTTTGGTGAGGTCTTCGCCCTTGGCCTTTGGTAGTGGTAAACCTTTCTTTTTTCTGTATCTTCTAAGAACACACTCTACTATTTCTAGATACAGCTGTGTGCCACTCTCTGGAAAAACACCATCAAAGTCTTCACATAGGAGACAAAGAAGTACAGTGTTTAAAGGACTTTCTGTCAACTGTCTGAGGTTTTCGTCAAGGTTTAGTTTGATTAATAGCTTCTCGGCCAAATGAGCGTCCTCCTTGAAGTATTTGACGATAAACTCTCGGGCGTCTTCTTTGGTAAAACCTTCAATTTCTAGCAACCTGTCGCAGCATTCGCGCACCTCCATACCAACCTCCTGTCGTGCTGTTACTACAATGTGACATCTTTGTAAGATTCTTCCTTGAATTACTTCCTTAAACGCTGGTAACATATTGGTAGGCAACTCATCCAATCCATCAAGTACCAGTAAAATGTCTGGCTGATTATGGCGAATGAATTTGAAGAATTCCTCCTTATCTTCTTTTGTGACATCTTGAGGCAGAAGTTGATCATCAATGGCATTCCAAAGAACGGAATTAAAGATTTCCTCCAGCTGTTCTTTTTTGGATCGAGGCAAAACCTGTGCTTCCCAAAGGTAAGGCTGTATGTCTCGACATTTAAGAAACAAAACTACTTGGAAGTTTGGAAAAAAAGTCTCTGAAGAATGTTCTTCCCCTTGTTTCTTCGTTGCCCAGTCGTAAGCAAGTTTATAACAGAGTGTGGTCTTTCCTATACCTGGCTTCCCTTCAATCAACACCGTCCTAGGATGTGGGCATTCCTCGTGTGGTTTAAAGATATCGTTCATCGTAACAGTTTCATCAGTCTTTTCCCCCCTTTCTTTCTTCCTGCTCACTATTTTGAGTCTGGTAAAATTGTTATCAAGGCCTAATCGAAATTTTTCACACCACGGAAAGGGTGCAATCCATCTTTCACGGGTGCTGTAGAGTTGGCGAATGCCATCGATAAATTCAGTTGGGTCAAAAGCACCTGAAAAAAATATCATAACACCCTGTTACAGTCTACTGAACCCGTTTAACTGCTAACTGCACAACTTAAACTTTAGCTGCAGAACTTGCATGTTCCGTCTTCATTATTTTTCCTGTCTGGGGGGTGTCATCTCACAGGATGTGTAACTTTTCTGTAGTTAAATATCCTCAAATTTATTCTTCCTAAGAAAATTTCCCTAAAAGCTTTCTTCTGAAAATACAACCAAGTATCAAGGAACTTCACCATTTTCTTTATGAGAAAAATATTTAGTGCCTTCTTATTCTGTTAATCCTTAGTCTTTCTAGATTTCTTTGTATAGAGGTTTACACGTTGGCAAGTGACTGCCCTATGTTTATTCACTGTTTTTTGTGAACTAATTGACAATGTTCTTGGGGAAAACAAAACAGACAACCAACAGTTTTAAATACAGAAGGGAAAAAGATGCACCGGTTTTCTTCATGGTTCTAGGCTGAAAGAAACTCAATGTAAAATTGTTTGTTAGTTCTGCAAGGTTGTGCTTGTACATTGTATGTCACGGACCTCATGGAGAAAAACCAAGGTTTTATCACAGTGGTAAGCATACCTTTTTCTTGTTTTGCGCGCTCTGCAGGAACCGTCAAACTTGCTATAATTTTCCTTTGACTTTTGATTATTTGATCACTCGTGTGCTTTAGTAGCTCTGTTTGTTATCAGAATCAAAAATCCATTAATCAGTCCGGGAGAGATCACAGCTAGAAGTATAGTTAAATGGAATGGCTATCTAGCAAGTGTTGACTGGAACACCTTTTTAAGGGCACAAGAATTTCTTATTATGGCTGTGGTCACACGCTCCTCCAGAGGTAGGGGGAGTAAAGCTACAAAATAACATAACCACTACCACTCCCCCTTTTTTTCTTATGTAGGAGGGTTTAGGGTAGCCAAAGTTACAGCTGTCCTCTCAAGGGGGCGGCTGAAATTTCAGTCCAGGTCTAGGGGAATATATTGTAGGTCATGAAGTTAGCAACAGTCATGCTTGGCATGATTTCTCTTAACTGAAATGATTCATGCCTTACACCTTCAGTGTAATAAAACAGTTTCTAGCATTTCTTTATGCATAATTTTGTTAGAAGCTTATTGTTATTTCTTTCATCCACAATGATTATGGACTTTTCAACTTACCTTCAATCTCATCTAGTCTGTCTTTGCTGCTATCATCATCTTTCTTCCAATCCCTCAGTAATTCTTGGTAGTGTTTCTCAATGACAGGATCCATGCTCTCAGTCTTCAGTTTACTGATAGCAGCAGCATCTGCACCCAGTCCTACCAATGCATTACTTATATCCTGCCAATAAGTATTAAATGTTGTATCATCCACAGATGCCTGGCTGGAATGTCCAACTACATGGTTCCGGTAATACTTCACCCTAGCTATGTTGGCTTCAACACTCATATCTGCAGCAGGTGGCAGATTGTCCCAACCAGTGGTTGGAGGAGTCAAGCCACATACATTCCTTAAGAGCAACATCAGCAGTGTGACATCAAAATCTTTCGAAGATACGGATGGACGTGAAGGGGGATACAGCTTGGCCCATTGAGTGGGATTGAGAATTCTCTTCTTTCTAAGTGTCTGCAGTACTGGGTGTGCTGGAGGCTTTGTAAGAATTCCATGTAGGCCCGCTGGTGGGTGAATACTATCAAACTTGTTTCTCAATGCCTGGGATCCTACATCCACAAGAAGACGACACAGACGAGCATAATTTGTTGTCTCTTTGGTGGATGCATATGAAGTTGTGCAGCAGGCCATGTGGATTATTTTGCTAGCTGTAAAAAAGCAAATAAAAATATTCATTTGGCAACCATGATGTAGCTCAGCAGGTACTCCTGAGAATTCTTGGTTGGGTGTGCCACCCAGTTCCCCAAATTCTGTCCGTGCTATTTCAGACGAAGAAATGTCATTTACCACACCTGTTTTAACACCTGAATTCTAAAATCCATAATAATGACAATCTCTATTGAGGATGCCTACTTCACCCTAAAGTGCTTTACAGAAGGGTCCTCCTATTAAAAAAACATTAAGTGAAACAGACAAATCTATAACTAAATTAAAACTTACTAAGAACTATCAATTATAATCAAAATGTTACATTGTGGATGGCCTTTTTAAATTTGCCAAGTGACTTGAGCTCCCTCAGTGACTTATCTAGATTATCCCCTTCGTTCGAAGCAAAATTTGTCGAAGTCCTAAGACCCCAGTTTCTATTATTTTGAAAAAGCCTTGCGTACATTATCCTTATGACAACTTTAAAAGAATGTGTAAACAAATTATTCAGGCACTTAAACATAAAGATGGCATGATGCTCAGTATGTCTTCTTGAGAGCAATTTCCACCCAAGTTTATCTCGAACCTCAGTGCCTGATGTACAAGGGAGTAAATCTAAAATTACAGTATATGTGCTGCTTTGTTTTGTAGAACTTGTAGTTGTTCCATTGAGGTGACATTACCCCTATCTCCCCAAATACAAAGTAATATCAGCAGAGTCGAAATTAGATAGGTAGGATGTAACTGTTAAAAAACATACTGTAAGCCTATTTGCCATAAGCCTTTTATTATTATACCCATTTTCAGACTTGAAGTAGGTCACAAAATGTTACATGCATGTTTACAAAGTTAGAGATTACATAATCATTACTTAGTCCCCTCCCCAGGCTACCTCTCAGCTCTTTTTTTCTTTTGCCCACACCAATTCTTTTCTCCTTTCCCCCCCAAAGTAGAGCTTGGTCCCAGGATACTTAGATTAGACGGCCAACAAACACTTTTTTCTTTAAATCCATAATTTTCTACAAGTTTAACAAGCACGCTACAATCTTTGACACAGTACATGTCTGAAAAGCACACTTTTATCAACAATTTCATCCATTTATCATACAATTCTGTTTAAACGAAATTATTCTCCCACCCCCAAATCAATGTTGTTTGTAGTTGAAGAAAGACTTGAGGGTTGAAAGTACAACCAGGAGTCGGCTCTCGATACAACATTAATTTGGGGGGATGGGGTTGGGTTACACAGGGAGAGGGATACGCCTGTTTTATGCAAAAAAAGGTGCTATTCAATGGTGGTATCTCAACACTTTTGTCCCTTATTGTAGATTTCTCAAAAACTGAAACACATTTCCAGGGTTGTCAAAAAGTTTTTAAGTAGCAGGCTGATAATGATTAGTAGGCGGCTTTGGAACTCGCACCAAAGGCACAAGTTTTTGAGGGCCGAGGCATCTAGGGACATTTTGAAATTTAGAGTCTCAGAAATGCCAGTTCCAGGGGTTTCCAGGAGGTATTTTCCACCACGAATGCCATGCTGTTTCGTCAGAATATGCACAAGACTGGGAACAATTGCCCTTGAAAATTCCCAAGCATTCCACGACATTGCACAGTTCGAATGTTCCACAGATCTAAACCTGTTTAAATACGCGTTCAACGTCATTCAATACTGGGAAACAGATGCTTTACAATTTTATTCAATGGTGCTTATTTTTTGTTAGCGGTTATGGTAGAAGGAGATGAAAGCAGCCGGCTAAGGATGGCTAACTACAAGGCGGTTTTGGCCGGCTACTGGCCCTTATTGACAGCCCTGCATATCTTTTCAAGCAATCTCCATGTTGTTATTCTTAAATGAGTGACCCAAGCATTTGGCTGTTTGATAATAATAGTTTGCCCACACTGCATGGTAGAAAGATGGGATTCCTTCTTTACATACTCTTTCAAATAATGTGAGTCACTTGGTTTGCAGCTGAACTAGTTTCTGATGTAAGAAATATAAGAAATACAAGGAAACAACACTAACTAATGTTTGACATTTTGCAGCGCTTCAAGTGGCCTCTAGCAAAAAATATAGGGCTCAATATTTGGACACTTGAAGCCCTGATATTGAATAAGCAGAGGTCTAAAGAGCGTTCTGTGCCTGGGTTGCTGCTGGGTATGCTATGGTCTCTCAGAGCCCCTACCCCATAATAGTCTGTTCTGTGGCTAATTATAGACCCCATCTTGGTCATTTTTAGGCAAATATAGAATTTCTGGGATATTCCAGCTTAGTCACTTTCTATTGATAAATCTACATTGTTCATACAGAATTTTGGGGGGAAACATCAAGGACTTTTCAAGGACATCTTTTCCCTGAAAATTGACATAGAATGACACGAAGAGTAAAGACCTTTCAAATTCGTAGGTGGAGGGGAGTTTGCATATTGCAATACCTTCCGCAAGGAAGGCACGGTTCCAGGGGTACTTCAAAGAATGAAAAATGAACTATGCGGGAACATTGAAATCATAAGAAAACATACCTTCATGATCACCAAGAACTGGTGTGCTGCTGTGCTTTCAATTTTCCCTTTGTGCAAAACACTTTTTAACAAAGGTTAATTCTATTCAAGGAGCTTTCAAAAATATTCAAGGACTTCTGTGGAAAGGATTTTCCCACAATTTTTCAATTGGGTTATTCCAGAAAAAAAACCACACCCCCATGATAGAAGGCACAGTTTTTTGTGAATCCTGTGTTTGTTGTGAATGTTGTTACTCCATAATTTTCACATCTTGTTAAACAGGCTTACACTTTTTGCAAATAAGCTCATATTTGAGTGAACTTCTCTGTTTTTCTAGAACAGGCAAAATATACAGCAATATATACTACAATAAAGCTCAAAACTAACTATGTTCTAAAAAAAATGGTTCTCTTCTTTGTTGATAAAAAATGACTGCGAAAAAGAGAAAAAGGACACTTAGCGGGATATTACATGACGCGCTGTACCAGTTGCCACAACACTTGCCTTTCAAAATGGCCGCCAAACAAATCATGAACAAATAACCATGCTTACAAAATGTGCTTGTAAGGCCTGTTTAGTTGTAAATCACCCTGAAATAGCATTAACCTTGGAAAAATGTATAATTGAAGGTAAAATCTTTGTTTGCTTTCCTTGAACTGAGCGCTTTTACATGAATTATGCGATTTTTCTTGATACCTTCAAGTTATTGCGTGTCACTTCTACAAAAGTAACGGGGGTGAGCCTATGGATGGCAACTTAAAGTAAATGTGTTAAGAGGTCTGTAGTTTGAAAGAATAATAAAATTTCAAAAGGCAAAGCAATTTTTTGAAAACTTATTGATTGAAGCGATTGAAACATCGATGAAATTGAAAGTTACCCCCGAGGATGTATTTTTAGGTTCAGAGCCCCCGTCCCGTCTGGATTTCCAGAGCCGTCAAGGAAATTGAGACCCCATCCAGCGGCACATCCCCATTAGCCTCAACAACCGCCCCCCCCCCCCCCCCCCCCCCCGCTCCCGTGTTAATTTTAATTTTCCCTCTCTTTTTTATTTTTCTTTTTCCCGGGGTCTTTTTTTCTCCAACAATCCCTCCTCCTCTTCACACATCATGCGGAAACAAACAGAGTGACTTTTACCTTCCACCCTGCCTCACTAAAATTTTCTTTTTACATAATACTATTTTCTCTTTAAAAACATCTTTTATCTATCTGAAAAAAACAACAACCGCCCCCCCCCCCACCACCACCACCCCCGTGGGGTTCCGTGATAATCTTAATTTGCCACTTAGTCTTAATTGTGCTATCTCCCGGGTGCTATCTTCGCCAAAACATTCTCCTGCGCTCTAAACAAGTACCGGGTAAAACTGTAGCTGCATTTTCAGCTGACGCCGTGCTAAAATGAATTTCCTTCATCAGACTATCAATTTCGACTTCAAAAGCTGTCGTTAATATGTGGAACAACTTATTGCCTAAACAATTCCTAGTTGTTTAGGGTTTGTAGAATAAAAAAAGACAGGTGTAATGTCATTCAACACATCTCCCCTCCAAATATAGCTTACTTTTTACTTATCTCGATCGATGAACCATCACAGTCGCAGGATCAACTCGATAAGCCTATTTGTTTCAATGGCGGAAGAAAGATGATGAAGAGCTCCAGGCGAATATTAGCCACGCGATACGTTTCGATTATCCTGCCTTTCTTCAGGTTAAAAAGCGAATGAAGTACTTACAAACGAAAGCAAGCAGTGTAATTAATTAGAAAGGCGATCAATCATGAATGAGGACAAAAATACCAAAGACATTCCTTGCACTATTTGCTTGCAACAACACCCTCGGTTCACCGTCGTTTAGTTTTGGAAAACGAGAAGACCCTGGGGACGAGTTTTTTTTAGGATCCAATATGGCGTCCGGTGTTCGGCTTGGAGGTCGCTTATGCTTCAGAGTTTGTATGTCGGCGCACCACCGCTCAAGATATAGGATTTTGGCTTCAAACTTATCTTTGTATTTGTGGAGGTATCGGCTATCTAGCGGCATTAACACGGTAGGAACAATCCAAAAAAACTGAAAATTTTATTTCGGATTTTTTCTAACTACATGTATACCCATGCTGACCCTAACTCTTAATAATGCACCTATCAATGGTTTGCCCCAGGATGGGGGGGCCGGGCAACCCAAGGGAAATTTGACATTTTTAGTTTTTCAAATGTCAATTTCCCAACCTTGGGTTTCCATTCTAAGTCAAATTCCCACCCCTGGGGACCACAGACCTTCATAGTAAGTTAAACGAAATGGTAGGCACTCACGACAAGTTTATTGCAGCGCTCCTCCAGACACAACACTGATTTGAACAAATAACGATTAAACAAGATCCTCTCAAAACAATCCAAATTGTATTTCTTGTAGACAAAAATTTCTTAGGCTAGAATTATTAAAAAATTGACATAGAAAGTATCAAAAAATAAGATTATTTAATAAAACACTACTTGTCTTGGAATTGCTCGCATTTTAGGCATCCTACTGATGAACAGTTGGGACACGTAGATATATTTTATAGCAACTACTATAATTTGCAGTCTGTCTACTTTGAATTTGGTGAGATTTGGCACAGGTTTCTGGATTCATCTTCTATGTCATGCCTGGAATAGGTCGTATTCCGCTTTCATCCAACTGATGTTCGTAACTGAGGTCCACAATTCACCAGAATTTCATTTAATTTAACATTTGGAGTATACTAGCAAATCTATAAACACAGAGAGTATCGAAAACTTGAGGCAGGGCGGCATCCTCTGAAGACAGGTAAGTAGGAAGTAAATTTTGATCTAAACGAGCTCTTGTGCGAATATTTCTTCTCAAAGCTGAAGGAAAAATACCTTATGTTATTAGAACTTCAAAGACAGAGCACTGATGGGCATAAAAAACAACAGTTTTGCTTAAAAAAAAGCAATACGATACTCCTTACCTTTCATTCAGCCATCCTTGGACGCGGGAAACTCGCTCAAATGACTTCTGGGTATTTTCCAAGATGGCGGACCACTCACTCATTCCCAGGTCCTCTCCACTTTTCAAGATGGCGGTCGAGTCAAATTTCCCACCCTGGGGACTGTTGTGGATGTCAAAATCCCCACCCACGTGCGCTTTACGAAGTCTAATTCCCGTGGGTTGCCCGGCCCCCCCATCCAGGGGCAAACCATTGATAGGTGCATAATATATAGCTTTAGCCAAGGCTAAAAGCGAAGCTCTCTTTAATATTTATGTTTTCCCAAAGAAAATATAAAGTCGAGTAATACTAAAGACATGGTGAAGACAACGAGAATGGTAAAAACAAGAACAATAGATCTACTTGGCCATCTTTGATACAAGGATGGGAATTGGGAACGGGGATCAGGGAACAGGGAATCTTTAACATGGAGAGTCTTTAAAAGCGGGAATCTATAAAACGGGGAATCTTTAAAATGGGGAATCTTTAAAAGCGGGAATCTTTAAAATGTGGAATCTTTAAAATGGGAAATCTGACATCATCCCCATAGGCTCCTTGCAAATGGCCTTGAATGATACAATGTTGTTGTGCTGTAACTCCCTTAAAATCTTTGCTTCCTTAATAACAGTTTCTGTGAAGTCTTCAGCTGTACTGAGCAGCTCTTTGACAACAACATTTTCAGCGGGGCTTTTCTTTAGGTTCCTAATTTGTAACAAAAAACGGCCCAAATGTTCCTTGCCCTATGATATCATGGCCAACTTTCTCTTCCCAGGAAAACCGAGGCAAATCACCAAGCCTATCTATTTTTTTTTTTCGTTTACTCGCAAAAGCCAAGGGAAGCTTAAATTCAACCATGTTGACCTAACATCAACATGAGTTGGAAAGGGCAGAGTGTTGCCTGCTGCTTTAATGTCTTTAATTTTCCATGGTTTTCCTACCATCTGGAACACCTTTGGGAGAATTTATAGCAACCAAATACAATTTGGTTTTCATACTTTTCTTTATCCACTGGAGATACATTTTCCTGGTTGTTTTTCTTTTTGTGTGTGTGAGAACGGTACTTTCTTCCAATGAAATTGGTCTCTGTTGTTATATATTTCTCGCTCTATCTCTTTCCCTGTTATCCAAGTTAATGTAGACATTAAAATCAGTTAGTGGAAAGAAAGACTGGTCTTCTTTTTTTCTTGCTCTAATTACAGGGCTTCTGATATTTCGCGGAAAAAAAAGCAACATTACGCGGGATTTTCAGGGGCAAATTCGCAGGAAAATCGCCTGATTTCGTGGGATTTTCGCGGGAAAAAAATCAAAATTCGCGGAAAAATCGGCTGATTTCACGAGATTTTGGCGAAAGAAAAGGCAGATGATAACTTCTGGAGATCTTAATTATCAACGACCACCCTTATAATATTCTTGGAACCTTTCATGGATAATGCTGATTGAACTGCAAATTTTTTTAATGTCTGACAGGTATCCCAGAAACGGTATTTTGCAAATGACAAAAGGTCAAGTTTTTTGGATGCACTGCCTTTAGCAAGGATGGACAACACAGTAAGTTAACAACATGTGCAGGTCATTCTTTGGGAATTAACAAATGGAGGGGCGGTGCATTGTTCACGTGTTTACTCATGGAAGCCAGTTTACAGTTTATCAATCCCAGCCTAATGTACCATTGCTCATGATAATTTTTACAGAAAACCTCAACCATTATTACATGCAATCCTCTTCAGTAGTGGATCCAGGGGGGGTGGGGGGGGGGTTGGGGGGTGCAGCCCCCCCCCCCCCCCCCCCCCCCCCCCTTCGCCACTTTTGTTTTCCGCCAAAATTTTTTTTTAAACAAAACTGTTTAAAAATAAAAAAAACAAGCTTTTTTTAAAAAAAAAAAAAATTTACTTTTTCTCCAAAAACCACTAATAATAAAAGAATTATTAAAAAAAAATTTTTTTTTTGGTCTTCTCAAAACAATTTTTTGCCTTTCTTCTCAACAACGATATTTTTTTCGCACCAGCCCCCCCCCCCCCCCCACTATCAGACCTTGCACTAACTTGTTTGAGACTGAAATTCTTACATTAACAGGATCGTATATAACTATTAAACTGGCTGACTTGTTAAATGAAATGCACATTTCACTTTGCCACTAAACTACGTGTAAATTCCAGGATATTCAAAAATGTAATTGTTTTTGGGTACCCTGCAAAGATCTGTTTGCCTCTGCTCCCAAAGCAGTATTTCCTGTGCCAACAGTGACCGGCGTTCATAGATTGAGAAACATGTGTTTGTCCCTGCTTTCTTAGCTGGTCGACAATTATGCATCCTTTATGAGTAGAATTCAAGTACACGGTAAGGGGCCAAGGAATATAAGATGCAACCACGATTGGTTTTAGGGGGTGTGTGGGAGAAGCAATTTGCCACAAAATAGTTCAACAGTCCTTTCTGCACCAAAGCTTGGATCCCCCCAATAAAAAATTCCTGGATCCGTGATTGTTAACAAATCTTAGAATTGGATGGGACCATTTACATTAGAGTCCAGACCCCCCTTTATAGCCCTGCCTCTAGTTGGGATCAGAAAAAATTGTGCAGAAACAGCACGGGGACTGTGGAGAGAAGGTTTTTTGCTTGTCTGGGCTGACTAAAAGCCTGGCACAGTCTAATAACTATTTCACTCTTCTTATCATAGTTATTTAGACAGGCTCCCTCCAATTATTATTAGCACACTCAAAGGGTGAATGCTGAAGGTGCCATGACTCTGTTATAAAGTTCTGTTTTATCTCATCTGCTGTTATAATCATTTAATAAAAAACATAAGTTTGATAGCACAGTGTACTGGAATCAAAAGGATAATTTTTAAAAACTAGAATTCAGTGATTGAATAAGTTAATTTTGTATGTATTCTTAGTCCAAGTTGACAGAAACTGAAGCTGATGCAACAGCAAGTACAGATGCTGCATCGTCAACATCACTGGATGGTCAAGATGATGATGGTATGTAAACCATATCTTGAACGTTTTAAGCCTCAATCACTTTAAGTACAGTGAAACCTCTATTAAGCAGACCCCCAATTAAGCAGACAGCCTCTATTAAGTGGACACTAACCCGGGTTCCGAAATTAACGTTTTGTATTTCCCTTTATAACAAACCCCTATTCAGTGGACACCTCTATTAAGTATAAATCAAAAGAAATCCCTAGCTGATTGATAATTTCCCCATCTACTCGCTGTATTTACCCGGCAACTTGAAGTCTTAGTGACAGTGGAGAAAATAACCAACATTTTGCAATGCCACCACCAGTTTGCTGGCAAAATGTCATCAGAGGAACTTTAAGTGCAGAAATTTCACACTGATGACCTGTCACTTCACAGATCTGTCAAGTAGTTCTAATTGGTTGAAGACCCCAGTTGTTCAAAAGGTGGATACCACTTCTCTATCCACTGGATGGTGCAAATATATGGATTCTCTATTACGTATCCACTGGATAGTGATTTATGAAGGGGATAGTGCAATCCAAAGTTTGAACAAGTGGGGCCAGAAGTATAACCCAGATTTTGGTAGTAGGAATTTCTGTGCTCAGTCGCCTCTTTATCTTGTGGGAACACCAGTGGTTGCATTGCAAAATTTTGCTGTTTTATTTTAGACTAAGCAATTAGTACAATTTATGTTGTTAGCAGGTAAATCTGTTCTCAAGAAATGAACCACAACTTTTAGTTATTTAACATGTTTCAATTGATCATTGATCATCTTCAGTTACTTTGGTTAAACTACATGTACAACACAAAAATGTATTATTTGACCTGGTAAGCTTACCTTTTTGCTAGGGTTCCAGCCATGGTAACTTCACTGGTTTAACTTACCTATAACTTTATGCATCATATGCCATGAAGCTTTTGTTTACTTTTACTGGGCTCTTAGATCCATTAATGCAGCAAATGGCAGCTAAATATGAGAGATATCGGCAGTGGCTTGCAAAAATAATGGGGAAGGATCCAGAGGCATTCAGTGATAAGGAAATCAAGGTATGTATGCTAAAGTTGAGGTACCTGACATTGAGCAAGTGGTTATTCTGTTTTTATTATAAACACCAAGGAAATACATGTACCAATTAACCTTTTGCGCTGAAGCATGATATAACTTTAACAGCATAAAAATGTTTGCCAAAGCTCCTGTTAATTTTCCACAAATTTGTGTCAAATGATTTTTACATGCTTGTCATTTTATTCTCTTGCATGGTGAGTTAAGCACATTGCGGCTACACTCTTCCAGCCAGCCGCTAGTCTTGTTCTTGCTAGTTTCTTAAATTATTAAGGCAAAATCGATCAGGAAATAGCGTAATTTTAATTTTCAATGGACAAGAAATCTTGTACCAGAATAACTTAAATAATAATTTGTATTCTTTTTCACATTTTCAAGGGCTAAAGATGTAATAAATCATCTGTAGTAACACCAAAGAAAATTTCTCCTGAAAGTGTGAGAAAATAAATGTCAAATTTCACAAGAAGTGTGATTATACAGGTAAAATTCTAATAATTTCATGTGTAAGATGTAATTTTGTGAAATTTGACATTCATTTTCGCGGGCTCCCATGAGAAAGTTGTTTTGATGTACTGGCCCCAGCCCCCTCTCTCTCTATGTCACGCAAAACCAGGTATACTACAGATGATTTATTACTTCTTTAGCCATTGAAAAACGTAAGAAAGAGTGCAATATGCTTTTAATAAATTATTCTGGTACAAGATTTTCATCCACTGAAACTCAAAATTACTCAATGTCCCAGTGGATTCTGTCTTAATTTGTAGTACAAGTTATTCAACTTTCCCTCCCCAAAAAACACAACATACGCAATAATACTGGCATTCAAAATACGTTAATTTTGTTCACTGTACATTATCCAACCAAACCTTGCTAAGTCCTGTATACATATCTATGTTACTTTTAGGAAGCTGTTGAATACTTGATGCCATCTGGGCTTTATGCTAAAGATGCTCGGCCCCAGTTTAAGGTTAGTAAGTCAGGTCCTACAATGTAGAGTGTAGGGAGAAAAGATATTAAAGTAGGTGACAAAAGATTAGATGAAAAGATCTGAAAGACTTTCATGTGGCTTAGCAGCATGTGGGGTTTAAGTATGACTGAGGGTTGCTCCCCTAACCCCAGATAAATTTTTATTTTAAGTGCACTGAAAAGAGTATTTTAGTGTGTTTTGTGCAACCAGTTAAAGAATTTTAGCCATGGATGTGGCACTTTTATGACCTACATTTGCTTTATTTTTTATGACTCAAAATGCATTTGTTTTTATCAAACAAAAGTGTTGAGAAACAAATATCACAGATTTGTTGTCCTCTTAAAAAGTTATTTTGTTTGAATAGGTGGCACTTCCAGCTATATGGGATTTTTGTTGGCATGCTACCTGTAGCTTCTGGAGATAAACTCTGAACGTGATTTTCGTTTTCCTGTTGCATATGACATTTAGCACTGAATATGTGCCTGTTGGAAAGGGCTTGTAACAAACTATGTCCAATTTTAAATAGCACATTGTATTTTTCCTTGAACTATCCTGATTATCAACAAACAGTAAGACATCATAAAACATGCCCTCAAAGACAACAGGATCATTACATATTTCTTAAACTGCTTACCTACCCCTCTCCTAAGCAACCATTAACACTTACTTGTTACTTAGGGCAAAATGGTGGCTTTCAGGGGAGGGGTAGGTGGACAGATTCCCAGAAATGTATAATGATCCCAATATTGTAGGCATATATATTTGTTATAATAATTACACCTGTAGGTAAATGGAATCATTTTATTTTTACTCACAACTCTTGCAGGACCCTGAAGAGCTTTACCAAAGGAGAGGTAAGAATTTTTTTCAAAAGGAGTATTGTACAATCACTGTGGTGGGTCAAATAGCATGAAGGTGTCAGTCCAGTTTTGGAGAGAGGCCTTAAATATACCATAAACATGATAATTATCCCATTTCCAAAGGGGTTTGAAACTATGTGAAGAATGTTTTTAAGGCCAATTATATTTTAACACGTCAGGAAACGTATGTCAGTGAAATAAAATTTATTGTTTTGACATGAACTTCTGTACAAAGCAGAGTAACAGATTGTACCAAGGTTTCTATTCCTAAGTTAGAGTGTTACTGCAGTAAAATCCTGTTTCTTCTCTCTGCTTCTCAACAAAGACAATAGTTGCGTACTATGTAACATAAAATATATTAAGTTGCTTTTTGACACAATGTACCAGGTCAATTCACAGAATTGTCCAAAACAAGATTCCTATAATTTTTGTTACTTCTCCTGAACGATAATGCCTCATAGAAGATGTGTAGTGTCATCTAGTGAGTGAATGCAGTACTCTCTGCTTTACAGCTCAGATTGTGGACAAACAAGGCCGGCCATTACATGCAGCTTTCTTCACTGGGCAAATTGGTTTTCATGATTTATTATTTGTAAGTGAACTATTTTATGGTATGTAATGATGATCATGAAAGCTGTACTCTATAAACAGGCAAACCTCTTCGACCATGTGACACCAAAGAGACAGGGCCTTGTGTCTATATTACTGAGGTTTTGGTATCGTAGAGGAATGAAATAGTGTTATAGGAAGTTTAGTATTAGTGGGAAGAAAACTGTCCATTTAGAGAGGTACATGTAAAAAAGGCTCAGTGTTCACACAACCTACAGGAAAGATGTATTCTGTTTCTTGCACTATGAAGATCAGGTTGTACACTGCTAATTTGTCACATGGTGTAAGATTCTTGCAATGTGAGAGTCAATGAAGTGTTACAGAAATGGTGCAGTGGCAATATAAAGATCTTTGCGTTTTAAACTTTGAATAGTACTTAGGGTGATGATGTAATAATATTATTTGGAGCAGTACTTTGCATTTTATGCTTGCATTTCTGCATTATATATCGTGTCTATTGTGTCCTCTGTTTCTGTCATGCTTGCCATTCTAATTCTAATTCTAATCGTATAATGTGCAAAGGGTCTATTGGCCATTTTGGAACTCACAGTTGTTGGACATTGCTATGAGCTTGGAGTGCTTCGTACTTTAGAGGCGAGCGGTCACTTTAAGCCCAGTATTTTGTTGGGGCTTAAACATGCTAAGTGTTTGCGTTTCAGCAAAGCTTTCGAACTCTTGAGTTCTTTTTTCTTGTGAGGCGGGGTGGACGGGAGAGTTATGAAGCTGATGGTAAGGTTTCCATAAACTACTGCAAAAATTGGGGTGCTTTAGGAGCTAACAAGCTTATCATTTTAATGATTTGCTTCGAAAATAATTTTACAGGCAGTCTAATTGAATAGAATAATTTCAGAGAAATAAAGTACAGAATGAGTGAAATTTTTATCGTCATTCAGCAAAGCATGTTTGATTAAGATTATTAACATTTTTTCAGGAAATTTATGAGCAAAACGCCAAGTTAAATGCTGGCGAGGAAACAAAATTAAATGCTGTAGGAGGACTTGAGGCAAGTGATGGTGAACTATCAGAGACAAGTGATGATGGGTATAGTTCAGATACCAGTTCAGATTCTAGTGATGAGGACAAGTTGGATGGCAGCAGTGCCGAAAAGGAAGCTGAAAGGTAAAGTCTAGTGGTGATACTGACGCCCTTTAAAGCCTGCTTTTGATATAACCGTCTGGACAATCTCGATTTCCTTGAGTGCCGTCAAAGTTAGTAGGATGGCACGGGCAGCACACGAGCGACGAGCGCAGGCAAAGCCGCGAGGAGCGAGATGCGGGAAGCGAGAGCAGCAGTCGGATAAAATTGACGCACTTGATTCTTGCGGCTTTGCCTGCGCTTGTCGCTCGTGTGCTGTCCGTGCCATCCTACAAACTTTGACGGCATTCTTTTTCCGAGCAAGCGGAAAAACTCTCTTTACTTCATAATAAAAGTTTAATAATGGTTAAAGTAAGTCTCTTCATACCTAAGTTTATGTCGATTATAATTTTCGTGGAATCCTTCTTCTCTTCCAAAATCTTTGGAAGAGAAGTGTGGTGTTATCATCAACTGAGTTATTTAAGTCAACTGAGTCATCAACTGAGTTATTTGAGTCAAATTACCACTGCAAACAGATATTAGGTTGTGGAAGGAAGGAAGGAATTAGGTTGTGGAACGCGTGATACACCACAATTGTTAAAGAAAAATAAGAGATTGCTTGCAATCTAGCTCGCATCTGCTAAAACATGGTCAGTGTCTCTTCTATTGCAAACGTAAATTTAAAGATGTTACCAATTTTGAAGTCATGTTTGCCATTGACTCAAATAAAATGATCACTCATGTACTTTGCTCAGTGTTCACTGTATTATGTGCTCAGTATGACGAATAGTCCTTTTTAAATGTATTTGTTGTTGATGTTTCAATAAAACGTTTTATTATTTGATATAATATTATATCTATGCGTCTTTGTGTAGCTCAAACCCCAGTCGTCAGCCGAGGATGAGATGGATTGGAAAACCAGAGCTTAAAAGAAAAATTAACGAAAAATTGACAGATAAAGAGGTATGGGAAATTGACCAACTTCTGCCAAATATTATCAGTTACTGAGCGTGTGACAACCTCCTTCTTTAGCAAATTGTACTCGTTATTTAGCGTCTTTTCGCCAGCATTGAGTGAACTTGATACAAATCTTATCCTTGGTCGTGTTCTTTGTTAGTAAGGAACTTAAGCAAAAACGTTTTTGAGCGACGCTCGTTAACCGGAAACAGTGGACTTTTTTTATTCTTGGGTAGTTGTTATGCCCAACGTTTCAGGCAAGTCGTCTCTATAAGAATGAATAAACAATAGACATTTAGTAGCGTCAAGGTATGTTAAAAGGGGAAATGCCTAACTGTCAGTTGATGTGCGTCGCTGAAAAGCTCGCCAATGATTAGTGACATTGATACACTAGTGAAGTAACAGACTTCTATATTTTATGAATCAGATAAAAATCTCCTCAAAATATTTGTCGGCTTGGAGAATAGTAGTCTTGAATCTCTTGATGCTTACTACTGAACAAAAAAGCAAATGAATAAATTAAAATGGAATAAAAACTTGTGCTGGAAGTTTCGCTTTGCTTTTGAAATATGGTTGACAACGTGGTGAAGATTGGCAGGACTTTTCCATAACTCTACACCGGTGAAGTTGGCGGGTTATCAAACCAGATAACAAAGATAAATTTTTAACGGTGGTAAATCTGTCTTTTGTCGTTCTTTGCTTGTTATTGCAGTATGATGTCATTCTCCATCGGTTGAAGAAGTTGGCCAGTCACCCTAATGCAGAACTAGCGACTCCTTTTTTGCTTAGATTCTTAGAAGTTATTCCAATCCAAGGAATGAAAGCTGTAGAAAAAACTGTAAGTACTGATTAAGTTGTGATCACTTTAAATAAGGAATCAGGGCCTTCCAGTTTAATGTCGTTACCAGATCTCTTGTCGACGAAGCCGGAGGCAAGAGATCTGGGTACAAGATTACAGTTTGGCCAGTTAAGACTCCAATGGACAAAGTGGAACTTAAAGGAAATTTTTTCTCACTATATTCTAACGGTCCTGGGAACTTTATGTGCAAAGTAGGCCAACGTACTACTCGATCTCGTAAAGTTTTCAAATTTTTTTCATTTTAAATTTTCATTTATTTAAAATCACATTTTTGCTCTTAAACTTTGTGCAACTAAGATAGTTTTCGGAGTTTTATGAAACGCATGCCTTGTGAGTTGGATGAGAAAACGACCGCTTAGCTGGCTGGGATTGTCGGCCATTTTGAATTCACTTATAGAGTCACGGTGGCCATATTTGTGTTCTAAAGCAACGAAACGGCCAGCCATGTTGGTGTTCCAAACCAATCATGTGGGATGTTGAATGCTTTTCTTATGTAAACATTTTCTTTTGTTCCCACAAATTTGCATAGACGTGAGTGAAAACGCTCTACACTCTGTCGTGAAAAGTCTTTGCCAATCACATTATAACTCATAAACGAACAGAACTAACGCTCAAAATGCGGGAAATCATTCCTTTGACGGTTTGTAGACTATATTTATCTAGAAAAATATCCTGCATGAGCATTTTAAATTTAATTTTAGTGAATTGATAACATATAATTCTTGAGATTTTCTCACTGAAAGTTTAACTGTTCCATGTTATCGTTCATTGAATCAAATTCTTTTTTTCTAACAATTTCATGTTCGCATTGAATATGTTTAGACGTGCACGTGTCTTGTAATTTACAAGCATTTTATTATTACACGAAAGATGCTCTACAATGAAATAAACTCCCACTAAAAGTCCTACAAAGGATTTGATTTCTTCTAACACTAAAATGATTTATAATGCAGTGGTTAAGACAGGCTAAATTTCAAAATTTATTTATTTTTGACAAGATGTTGTAAATTTGTCGCTGTTGTTGTTGTTTTTTTCTTTTTTATGGCAAGCCGGGCATTTCGTCCATTTCCCGGGGCTCCTCTGATAGCTCAGGGGCGTCAGTCTCGTCTGGTCCGTCGGTTGCCTCTAGTCCATCTGGTCCATCAGGTCCGTCCGTTTCCTCTGGTTCTTCACCTAGGCAAAGGAAACATACCTGAGTAGAAATCATCGGACTTTATTAACCCTTTCACTGCCAAATGTAGCCAAAGGCAAATTTCGACAGAGTTTGCAAATTTCATTTTGTAACATTGTGAAAAACAAATAGCAGAATGTGACATTACAGGCAGAGAGCTTTCATTTGAATGGTCACATCAGAGGATTTCGTCCACAGACTCAAAAGTTAACGTCATCTTACCAAACTCCTCTAAGCACTCTGGCAGTGAAAGGGTTAATTGGGGCTATCTACACAAAACTAACCAATCAAATCAATCAACGATTCCAGTAATTCTTATAATTTGGCGGTTTTGTGTGGATTTAATTGTTAGCATTCTCTAATTTGATTGGTTAGTTACTGCACCAAACTGTAATTAGATAATTAGATACTGCACCAAAATGTTATTACAAATGGAAGTATTACTGTAATTCCTAACGCTAAAAATGCTTTATGAAAAGTACAGATTGGAATTGTCTTCATGAACCTTGCATAAGGAGGTTTGCAATGTACAGTTGCGAATAAATGCCGTATATTTAAGGACCAAACTCACGTTTCTCTATTTTTCTAGTAGTCAACAACTTTATGTCCTTTATAGAAATTAAGAGCCATAAGTATAGGTAATAGCATGATTTGTAGTGATATTTGGCATGTATACCACGAGTGATATTTCGAAATTGTTATACCTAAAATAAGAGAAGCTTTTTACCAAACGTCAAAAAATCTAGGTTCTTTTTAGCGGGTGTCTACCGCATCGTAGCACGAAAATATCAGTTCTTGATAGATTCAGCGACGTTAAAACTCGTGGCTACCTCCGCTTGACTTTCGTTCTGTCTTGTACACGTGAATAATCTTCGTCAGTTTTCGCACACAGACAAAAACAAAGTCCTGTCGCTCGCCAGCATTTAGAAGGAATAGTGAAATTGCCTTATCTCCACGAGTCTTCTGAATCTCAGTGATAGTAGTAGTAACTCTAGTAACTAGGATGTCATAGGTTTGACTTCTTTTGAGAGAAATCGGATTTCTTTTTCCTAAGTGCCTGTGTAACTGGCTGAAAAAAGGTCATTCCCGTAAAACAATTTATCTGATTAAATTCTCATTAAGCTTAACTCCGGGGGCATCTTAACGTATCACTGTAGTAATATTGGACTTGTCATTTGTATTAAGAAAAGTGAAAGAAGGAAATTTCCAACATTCTTTTGATGCCATTTGTACTTTTTCCTTACTTTTGTTTTGCCTAAAAAAGATTCACGACGCAACACAAATTATCAAAACTTATCTTCAACACAAAATCCGTTTGTACAAGGCAGGAACCTGCTCAAATTAGCCGAAAAAGATATCTTTTTCAACTCGTTCTTAGGACAATGCATACATCCATACCAGGGTGAATACAGTCGAAACCGCATCGCGATCAATAACAAAGTGACTATCGTGAGGCAGACGATAAAAGAACGTTATCACTGATACGCAAAATACGATGGCTAATATCTTTCATCATATATATTACACATTTTGGACACCAGCACTTTAATTCTTGTTTGAATTGATCCGAGTCTCTGGCTGATCAAGTCTTTGGGTGAATTCATTTGCAGCATACGCCAGATCAATTGAAGTTTCTGTAACTGACCAGCTACCTCTTCCCTAAGTCACAGTTTTGCCCTAAATGAGTAGGAAGTGTTAATGTTGCTTAGGGGAGGGGTGGGTGGTGAGTTACCCAGCGACCTCCCACGCCTAGCGTGGTGAAGGTTCATATTTTCTTGAAAAGTTTCAGCGGGAAAATGAGATGGCAGTCCGCGTATGCTGGAAATGAACCTACTCTTTGTCTTCGCTCTACGACGGCGATGGCCGCAAAAACCTCACCATTTAAAATACCTTAAAATAATTTACGAATTCTTTGGGACCGAAGATAAGTTTATTAGGAGAAAGAATTTTAAGAAGAAGAAAGAAAAATTCGTCGTCGTGTGTTTACGTCCTCCAAAAAACGTGGCAGAAGGGAATTTCACGTCGTAGTCGTACAGAAAGAAATGTACAAAAGTGTTCTGCACATGCAGAATTGTTTTTGCTTATTCCTACTGCTTTTTAGACATGGCCATCGTTAACGTATGACGGAATTTCAGTGAAAATACGTCTTATGACTCTCATACAAAAAAGTTCTTTTTTAAAAGAAAATGAAATCACCAACAGCGGCGATGCTGAACAGTCATATTTTCTTCATTAACTATAATTAATCACTGCCATGTCATAGTCACTTCAGTGTTTGCTGATTGAAGTATGCGCCCGTTTCATAAACATATCAGTGGACAAAAAATCACTATAAATTGAAGTATTAAATTAAGTATTAATTTAACATGTTAAGGACTTACCTGGTATTTGCGGTAATGGAGCACAGACTACCTGTTCCAGTATAGCAACAAAGCACAAAAGGAAAAAGAGTTTGGAAAACATCGTCTTGGCGATGATACCTCGGTGAGACGGTTTCTTACGTTCGTTTTGAGTCATAAACGCTATCCTGTCATCCCGAAGACGTTATAAAGCGTCTTTTGCGATCAATATAAAGTTGTCAAATATCAGGAGAGTAGAAATTGGCCTCACTTAATAGTTTACCAGTCAATGTGGCTCCTCGTTAATTATGAGTTATTATCACAACGTCCTAATTGAGAGTACAGTACAGTACAGTACAGGTAGCTAGTATCTGTTTATCGATATTCATGTTGCCTAGAGATGCACGCATACGATTTAACTTAAAAAGAACCGTATTGTTTTTTTCTTCTGTGCGGTCATTATCACGGGATAATTACCATGGATACGGAGATATCATTATACTGTGAGCTTTAAAACTCTGTTTGTTGATTGACTATTTATGTGGAAACAGCACGCGCGTTTACTGAAAAGCCTTGCTTTTTTTCACCATATTACTTACCAAAGGAGTTAACCCTTGTTATTACTGTAAGATGTATTTTGGTTTTGTAAAGTTATTTTCGATCAGTACTGCGTCGGTGTGCCTTTGTTCATGAAGGTTATCTGTTTTCAACTCTCTGATTGTTTTAACTAGCAAATGTTATAAAGGTTACATTGTAGTTATTTTTAACCGACGAAAAAGGCTATAATCGAAATAATCGTCGAATTATTTTAGTTTACTTTTGTAGAAATATATTTCAAAATTGAGAAATGAGCACTTTTAATTGCTTTAGGTGGTAGATGAGCTTAAGTGTGGCTTGGCAGAGAGCGTTTCTCTTTTTCCAACTCCGCGATCGGTTTTAACGAGTAATTTTTTTGGGCGCGCAAACGGCATGTTATTTCAGTTTTCAGAGAGGAGAGTTGTTTAATACCTGACTGATTTAGCTCGTAGCCGTGTGGTACGCGATTTGCAAGAGCTGGAGCGTGTGCAGCGTCACCGCAGATATTCAGCCGAGCTGTATATTTTCGTATTCTGTTAGCAGGGGTTACTTTTTCGCTAACTGCTTTCAAAAGATAACCTCTGCTTGCGACGAATAATATTGGCTCTATCTGACTCTCGACCCGCTTGAAACTCTCTTTAGAAGAACACATGTTGACGCTATTGTAAAACCTGATTATTTTGCACAATCCTAGATTCTATTGGATAATCTTCTATTCTCCGTCGTTAGACTTGCTTTAATACTGATTTCTAGCCTCTGTCAACTCCCTCCTTTTTCGAAAAGAAAATAAAGACAAACGCCATATCGTTGGATGACAGTCAAAATGCTGGCTGTGATTAAGCGTTATTGACCATTTCCTTTTTTTGCTTTTTCGGGACCGAGAAATCGCGGTCACTAGAGAGAACGAGGCCAACCTTCAGCGATCGTGAACAAGCTTGTTCACTGAACTCAGAGATTTATTACATGTCCGAAAAAAAAGAACATTTTGTTTCGGGACCATCGACGGAAATTGTTGTTGTTGTTGTTGTTGTTGTTGTTGTTTTTTTTCATTTCACCTGCTCGCTAATTCAGCCATGTACCGTCAACTCTTGCCTTGCGGACACCCCGGTATAACGGACACCCCGATAATACGGACACCCCGCTATAACGGACACCCCGATAATACGGACACCCCGCTATAACGGACACCCCGGTATAACGGACAACCCGATAATACGGACATCCCGCTATAACGGACACCCCGATAATACGGACACCCCGCTATAACGGACACCCCGATAATACGGACACCGCGGTATAACGGACACCCCGATAATACGGACATCCCGCTATAACGGACACCCCGTTAATACGGACAGCAGCTGAATCCCAGGAAAAAATGAATTACAGAGATTTGACAGAAATAAATTCCCGCTATTACGGAATCGCGCTAATGTGGACACTGACGTGAGGACCCTACATTTTCCGCTATAATGCTGAGAGTTGGCTGTAGTAAGGCTTCTTATCAAAGATTTTTCTCAGCTTTCCTTCCATTGAGGTTACTCATGAGTAGTCAGGTGGTGTCACCCGTCACTTTTCAGACTTTCCCCATCACTGGATTCAGAATCCTTACCAGATTGTGCACATTGTTGTGGCCAATACTTTCAAACCCTCCTCTCTGCAGTTGTTATTACTTAAACTTAAGCCTTCGCTTTCTCTGTACACGTGCGGTTCACGTGACAGTCTACTAGTAGAGTAACCAGGTTGAAAAATTTGTCTCTTTGTTTTGAAAGGAGATGCGCAACAAATAATTATTAAGCTCCTAGGTGAAAGTTGTATGTGACTTTTAGGTTGTGATTAATTTCAGTTTCTTAGCAGTTAAGTATTTTGTAAATCCTACGGTCTAGCGAATATATATTCGGGGCGCCGGTGGGGTGGGGAGTATGCTGGATGCCTCCCGCGGGATCCTTTCAGGGGACATATCGCTATAAATGAAGATTTTATCCCCATTGCTTTGTTATTTATCAACAGCTTAACGAGAAAGGAGAGGCCGTGGGTATAGGTAAGTTTAGCCATTTGCTAGGCACATATGTAGCATTTTTTATGACAAACAAGTCAAGTTCCCAGAAGACTTAAAGTATTGTTATTTCTAGCCTGTTACACCCTCTTAGCCCGGGAGAGACTCCCATATAAAGGTGACAGGGATGCTCGTCGGATGATTAAAATTAAACCCCTGATGGAGACCAATTTGGGTGTGGCTCAAGTTTAAACTGACCTCTAAAGGAGATTTCTGTGTGGTCAGTGTCACGCACAGCCCTAAGGGATACCTGAATGGGCAAATATAGTGACTTTCCGTCCCAAACACCCTAATTGAGACCCAAATCTGCAATTTACAGCCCTAAGCGAGACGACGAGCATCCCCGTCACTTTTATATGGGAGTCCCCCACGGAGTTTCTTAAGTCATTATCCGAGAAGAGAAGCAAAGAGGAGGAGGAGGAGGGGAGGCACCATCCTCTCTATCCCCAGTCCTCGCTCATTTTCTGTTCCCGGGACAATTTAAAAGTAAAGCGAGCCAGAAACTACCTTACGGCCTGTAAACTTTTATTTAAACATAGTTCAGTCAGTGTTTAACAAAACTGCGTTCTAAGCCATTTTCAGTTTGCCCAACGCTTTTATCTTAACACCATTTATCGTGAAAAGTTTTATGAAATTATAAGGCGCAGACTAGAAAGGCACTTATTTTCTTAAAATTACCCACTAAGGAAAATATTCGGAGGTCCAAAGATTTGCTAAACTGCGGCCTAACTTAGACTTCGTTAATTTTTTTTTTTCGAGCTGCTTGTGTCACTTGCTGAATGGCGCAAAGTCTATCCTCTCCCTCGAATGGCGAACCTCTTAATGGAGCCATGGATCAATTTAGGGTTTTTGGAAACTGCCCACCTACACCTCCCCTAAGCTAACATTTCTTAGAATTCTCAGCACATCACTCAATATCGCTGTATTCCTTGTTTTTTTCCAGGGCATCGTAAACGTGCAATTGCCGAAGTCATGATTACGAAAGGCTCGGGTAACGTCACTATCAACAATGTCCCGTTGACTCAGTATTTCGTCAAAGTAGAAGACAGGTAAGGTCTCAACTGAACCACTTTCTAAATCGCCTGTTCTGCTAACTGGGAACATTAGCTCTCAAAATGAACGCCAGGTGTTTAATGATAGGTACAGAATGATGTTTAATATAATAGCTGCAACAAAGAGATTATGATCTCTTGCTACGACATAACTTTTACTTATATTGGCATTCTCTTCATAACTTTTATATTCAGAAAATATGAGAAGAAAAAAAGTTCGTTAATAGTACTAAAAAGTTCAAAAAATTGACGACTAAGATGGGAACAAAACTTTAGATAGCCCTCAACTCTTATCTCCGTTAGAATGCTGCTTTATCCTCTTATAATTCTTTAGAAGAATCTTAATAAACTAATAAAAGTCGTGCGTTAGGTTGAATCAGATATAGGCTGATAGTGGTATGGTATAGGGAGCGTGATATCATCATTGACTGCTAGTACAATGCTCTTAGCCGATGAATTTTCCTTGTTTTTCAGTGGTGCTAGGGACAGTGATTGCAACATTCGTGATAAAAATATAATTTTAATTCTCTTAAAATAATTGGAAAGTGCTCTGCATAACGAACTTCGATTTTTTCTGTGACAGAGAGGACAATGTTTTCGTCCACCATTTAGCAGTATAATTGTTCATCTTATTCCCTCGCTGTATATTGTACAGGAAGCAAGTCATGTACCCATTCCTTACTGTTGATGCAGTTGGTGAATATGATGTGGAGTGTGGCGTGATAGGCGGAGGAACGACTGGTAAGTGATGATGTGAAGGAATTCTGACTCCTACGAATTTCCCTGAATGCGATTTAACAGGACTATCGACAAGGAAGGATACCTCTTCAGCTTCTTTTGTTATTCAACATCCCCACTGTCTGACATCGCTTCTTCCGGTTGCGAGATGTTATACCAAGCTTTTTACGAGGATAACTTTTTTTTTGCCGCTAAGTGGGTTTGTAGAAACAAAATTGGTAGCAGGGAAATGTAAGCGTTTCAGTATACTCTTGATGTTGTTGTGGATTTTGTGGCTGAGATAACTTAACTATTGTGGTACAAATCTCGTTCAGTGTAAGAGTACTAACAGAAATTCTGATCATTCTGTAGGTCAAGCTGGGGCAATCAGACTAGCTATCAGCCGAGCACTGTTGAACTTTGAGGATAGTTATTTGGAACCTCTTCAACAAGGTCTCATAATTACAGCAGTTTTTAAAGTAATACGGAACGTTTAGTAATTATTTTATTTTCAATGTATTGTTACTCCTTGCTAAAGAAAACTGGCGCCACTTTTCTGGTTAATGAGATGTCCAGCCAAAACCAAAGTGGTTTTGTTGCACGAGTTTTCCCGTACTTTTTGTCGGCCACATATGTCTGCTTGAATATTTATTGGTTCATTTGATTGTCTCGCGTGTTGTGATTAGCTGTAAGTAAAAATTCTGACTTTTGTTTTTCTTCACCCGATTGAAGCCCGCCCTACATTGTTTTCCTTTGTTGCAGTTCTCGCCATTTACGTTTAAAGGCGAGTTGGACTTAAAACTAGCCTTGCGTAATAAATGTTCCTGCTCGTTCCATAAACAAAAATTTTTTGGGCGAGAGCATAACATTTAGGAGGGGTGGGGAATCCTCCGTAATTTTACTCTCCATTCTGTCTTGCTATTGTTATCATACTTCTTGTTTTCTTTGTGAGAGTATTGTCTCTCTTACCCAGGTACATAAGTTATTAATGAATACATTATTAATGAATGTCGTTGCCATAACACAGGTACTAACGGTGTGATGGCCCAGAAACTAATTCCGCGGGATGGGTAGCAATACTCGTAGTTGATTCACTACCAAGACGCGAAAGTCACCCGACCAGTTGTTTTTGGAGTGCATCGTGATTGTCTATAACGTTAAGTGACTAGTATTTCAGCTTTACGGTACGGAGAAACGAGCAACAAAAAACGTGCAACTTGTCTTGCAACAATGCTGCAAAACGAGTTAAATAGCGATGTTGCGCGTTTTACCATCCATGTTCAAACCTGTTAACAACCTGATTTGTTGAAAGACAGGTTTTATGTGGGTGGTAAACGCGCTACATCGCTATTCAACTCGTTTTGTAGCAATGTTGTAAGACAAGTTGCACGTTTTTTGTTGCCTGTTTTTCCGTACCTTTATTCATACCGTTATGCCTTTTCTCATGTGTGTGTTTTTCTTGTTTACTTTTAAGCTGGTCTGTTGATAAGAGATCCGCGAATTAAGGAGAGAAAGAAACCTGGACAGAAGAGAGCCAGGAAGAAGTTTGCTTGGTAAATATACCATTATATCATTCCTTTTCGTTTTTAAGTCCATTGAGTCGGTAGGGCCTAGAAAGTTTGTTTTACCGGGTAACTGAAACCACCCTAGCGCTTTCTAAGTTAACACGCTTGGATTTTGCTTGATCTGCAGCATTTTTATTCTAGGCGTGATTATTCCTTTATCGAACACTCAACGATAACACACTGAGTTTTCCCTCAATGAGGGTGTGCCTGTTGTTCCATATTACTGTGCTAGATCTTATAGAGTTGGGCCCAGGCCAAACGTCGAACCTTTCATGTGATGAACCAAACTTTGTGAGTTAAGTTCATGAAAAGTTCGACATCTGGTTCCGTTAAGTTCGTCTGAATGTGTTTGGATCGTCCAACACGTTCTATCCGTCTGAAGATCGTCTCCGCGACAAACGTCGATCTTTACATGCGACGAACTAAACTAATAAATTAAAAAATTGTATGATAATGTATATTTATCCTCGTTTGGACGAAAATAAATTAAAATTGCTTTTTGATCTGATTCAGTTGATTGGTTTGACGCGTCGTAAGTTCGATGTCTGACCCAACAGACGATCTTAACTTGATTAAGGTCGACCCAAATTAGAGTTTGGTTCGTGCCATGAAAAGTTCAACGTTTGGCCTAGGCCTTATTTAGATTAAGGAAATGTTGAGATGTAAATCTTTTTTGGGGGCCAACCTGAAGACTACGTCCTCATAGGTGAGTTTTTTTTATTACTGCACTGCTAAGGTCATGTTGCTCTGTTTGCTTTTCAGGGTGAGACGATAAAAGTTCTGCATTGTTGCGCAGGACATAGGAATGGAGGATGGTGGCCTGAGACGAGCCGTAATGATGTATTTCCTTTGTGCAATTGCGTAGTAGAGGGAACGGCAAGAACAAGAGGCCACTGAAAACCCTGAAGCCAAGAGGAAGTTTAGAGGAAACTTGCGGAATGTTTAACTTCAATTTCCACCAATATTACGTGTTAGTTGATCGGAAAGACAAAACTACCACGCTTTTTAGTACAAGGACGATCGGATAAAAAGCGCAAATTTTATTAGTCTTCGTTAATGAGAAATTGCTACTTAAAAAAAAACTAGGATTTTCTTTCTACCACAAACATTAAAATTCAAGCCTTTGGGGGGCTGTTTTTAGATAGTTTTAAGTCCTCTGTGCTGGTAAAGTTGAGTTGCTTCTTTCTGATTGATTCATTTCAGTCTCTTTGACTGTTATTATTTGTTACACTTGTTACTTTGGTTTTAAGTCTTAACTCGACACTCTCATAAAAGTTGACCTTTGTTTCCTAGAGAAAATTTGGGAACCACACGACGACCCTGGAGTACCACTATATTGTCTTCTACAAATGTGAACATTCTTGTTCTCTTATACATCAGACCTCGCCTACTGCTTAGGCTCGATCTTCTGCCGCTGGGGCCTGTTTCTCCAAAGTTCCGATAGCTTTTCGGGCCCGGAAAGTTGTTTTATGTTTGCCATATTTGCATTCACGATCAAAGGTTTAATAATTCTGAAAATGATACAATGAAACTATCGGTTAACGAAAAAAATAAAAAGGTTTGTGAGCTAGAAACTGCCCTACCTTACAAATGGTTTTGCGTTTTAAATTTGCCCTCGGCCTCGAAATGTTTGCTCTTCCCCGATAACAGAGAGAGAGAGAGAGGGGACGGGCGGGGAGGGGGGTAGGGGAACCGCTTGCTTATTTTCCGAACAGCGGCTGCTTTATCGAAACATTTTATCAACAGTTCGAGATTGCACCTTAGTACCTGTGTTTGTTTGTCGTCCTACTTCAAACCAGGCATCAGGAAAAAGTGTAAGCCATAACGTGCTTCAAAAATAGCGCCACTGCATGTCCTGTGGGTTGCAAACTATTTGGCTCAGTCATAAAGAGCTTGAACTTTCCATAATAAAGCACATGACATTCCTCGTCGGGTTCGATTAAATAAATATGGCGAGAAATATTTTGTAAAAGGACGACTCCTTGATTTATAATTACGCTGTGCATGACTTTCAGCACGTGTCAAGCTTTAATACACTCTCCCGTCTTCAAACATTTACCTAGGTTCCTTGATAGTTTCAGGATATCAAGGGATCTTTATTCTAGCAGATATTTCGCATGTAGCAGCTGTCATTCGTGGACTGGTGCAGTGGCATTTTTGTCCAATCGCCTCTTCAGAAACGAGAAGGGAACTGGAGCCGAAATACGTCCCGCAATTGTTTCTGGGATTGTTACTGGGGACGCGTCGGTCAGCTATTGGCCAACTATTCTTCTTCCTCTGGCCCTAGTAACAGTCCCAGAAATCTTTGCGAAAGCTAACTCGGCGCAGTTTTCTTCTCGTTTCTAAAGGGGCAAATTCTCAAATTTTGAGGCGGTAGTTCGCTATTGCGTTTTCGCCAAGACAGGTTGATGGGTAGCCCGCGAATACCGCCGTTTCTTCTTGCTTCTCGTTTCTAGGGACGTTTCGTTTCCTTCTGGCAAACCGTCCCTAGCGGCGAGGAGCAAGGAGAAACGGCTGTATTCGCAGGCTGGTTAATGGGACGATTATCCACCCTTGGTGTTCACCAGCACCGGTGTTCACGTGATCTTCTGCCATTTTCTTTAGCTCTGCTGTCCCAGACAGCTTAGTCACCGCACCCCTTCTTTGATTGACGTCTGTGAGACCCTTTTCAGTCGATAACGCCACTATTGACGTTAATCGTACATCATCGCGGCAAACATTTACTAGAATGGTGGATGCTACAGTAGCTGGTTATGAAGAATTAGCGTGGGGAAATAAGACAATCTTCTTCAGGCCCCCAAGTCCGGATCCCCCTAAAACTTCTGCAAACATCTTAGGACAAGAACAACGATTGTTCTTTTTCTTTTTCAAAAAATAAAAAATGCGCCCATTCTAAATGTTCATTCACACTGCAGTCAGCAGTGCCAAAACCAAGCCAGATCACTTCGTTGACGGAACTGCAACACGAAATACAGCAAAGGTAAGCATTTTATATATTGTACGTCTTCATAATAGGCTAAGATAAGGCGATCTTTTTTTGCGAATTAAATGGTGAACCCTACAAATTGCTTCGTTATGCAATGTTTCCAGTTGTATTTATTTTAAACAAGCGCTCACATAGTGAGTTTGAGATGCCTGAGGAGGAAGGCTGGGAGAATGAGATCAGAAGTGCGAAGGACGAAGTGTCTTCCCCATCCCCGCCCCTTCGCTGCCTTCTGTGACCTGTGCGAACTGAACGCCTGAACCTTGTTTCGTTTTTGACAACCCGTCTCAACTTTTACAGCAGAGAATGCGGATGTAATCTGAAGTGAGATGAGGTTATCTCTCAGTGGTTACCCATGAGGAAACAACATTGTCACGTGACTCTGGCTTTAATTGTTATTTCCAGGCCTAATAGATCACGTGCTCAAATTAGAGTATCGTCGGCCATATTGACTTTCCGCATCTGACGAGAGAGCCATTCTGACCCCTTGTTTACCTTAATTCCCCCCTCCGTATCTAGAGTTTTGGCCTCTCATTGATAAAAATGTCTGTAGCCGACAAGTTAGACGCCGCTAGGCACTCTATAACGGGTTCTTATGTGGCTAAAGTTGTCTGTAAGTCTTCGAGCCGTGAGGTTATGGGTCCGAAAAGGAAGCACTTGGATTGTAAGCTTAAGTTTGGTTTGCATAGATTTGAGAAAATATTATGGTTATTTTGTTTCCTGAGGTTAATGGCAGTTTGTGTGTTGCATTTTACTCTATAGATCTGACCGCGTGCACACATAATGACAACGTTTCCATCCCAAATTTAGCGGAGTTACTATTCGAGCGATGCACAAACTCGAGTTGGGTTGTAGTTTTCAAAGCCGAGTGCACCTTCCACCATTTGATGTCGTACGGAAATGAGGTGAGAATGAAAAAATTAATTGTTGTTAGCCCAAGCAAGCTTTCTTCGAGGTGTGAATATAATTTACCACCCGTCAGCAGATGTTTTGGAGGAAAAATAGTCACCTGACTCGAAATTATTTTATTTTTCTTTTCGTTTGTCACTAAAACTGGCGTATCTCTTGTTTGGATCGAATGTCAGTGTCTAGCGGATTTTGTTGTCGTCTTGCATGAAGATGTCAGTTGTTGTCATGACTGTCTTTAGTGTTAGAACGCTTTAGCGATACGCGAGCCACTGTTACCCAGTTGTTATGATTTTATGACAGTACAGAACTTAAATTGTCAATGAGCCGAGAACGACTACACTTACGCACACCTTGAGCTGGAACTTCGCATAATATTAACTCACGTTCAGTCTCTAAATTATATTTTATAACTACATCATCTATTTGATGTGTTGTCTAATCATCCATTCTATGAGAAACTTTAATAGAACAACTTGAGTTATTTTTGGCGTAGTACTATCGTTTTCCAAGTTTTCCTAATGTTTTATGAATATCGTGCTGTTGGTGTTGAAATAATTTGCCGTAGATAAAGGTCACAGAGTAGCATTTTTAAATAGGCTTTGTTGCTGCCAATTTTTTCCGTTCCTTGTAAATTTACCATAAACTTTGATGAGAGGTGTTAAGAGATTTCAGTTTTATAATAATGATAATATCTGTTCTCCTCAACTTTAGATAACCAGCACTTTATAGTAATTTATCTCCACTTTTAATTTCAAGGGTAAGAGGTTCAGTTTTTGTGGAGGGACTTGCAGTGATTTTAGAGCTTAAAATTCCAGCCTTATTTTTTGCTTAAAGTTCTTTTTCTTGTTAATGTGTCCCTTTCATAAAAACAAGTGATTTAAAATGTGCAGTGTAGTAGTTGTCTGAATAGAACTGACGCTTATCCAGATGATTGTGGTTATGATAAAAACTACAAAAAATTGCACAAACAAAATTGTATGGAAACCACTCTTAGATTCTTGGGGCAATCAGTATCTTAGAATTTATCATTAATTTTCCTCAAAATTAAATGCACTAAAGTAGAATAATAATGGCAACCTTGTCGTTTTTGTATGCTTAGATGATTGAGCTGATTGTACCAAAATCATTTATAAGTTTGAAGGAAAGTTGCATGAGGGAATCTAGATGATCTGGAATGATAGGGAAACCAGTCTCAAGCAAACTAGGATATTTTCCCTCCAAAACTTTGGCAAAACACCGGGTCATTTGGTTTCAGCCTTCAGGATCATGTGCTATCCACTTGCTAGGGAGTGAATATTGCTGAATAGCCTGATATAAAGAACCAATCAGATTGTTTAAAACACCAAGGCTACTGAATGATTATTATCTGTTTGAATTGTATCCCATTTCAGTTTAATATCATTATTTATTTTTTGGCTTTAGAGGTTTATTCAATATTTGGCATCAAGAACCTCCAACTTCAGTCTTGGTAACTTTCTGGACAAAAGTGGTGTACAAGGTACAGTGTATGTGCATGTAGTATTGACTGTCACGCATGGCTTGCATGTTACATAAAATAATCTAAATAAAGGAATACAGTATGGGAAAAAATCATCGTGTTCCTTTGAAGTGTATTTAAAAATTCTTACAGTTTTATCCCCCTAAATCGTCTCAGGTTGTTGTTTTCTTTTGAAAAGGATATGATATGTCTACTTTTGTGAGAAGATATGGAAAATATTTGAATGAGAAGGCTTCGTCTTACACAGAAATGGGATATGACTTCTGTCGAATAAAAAGAGGGTAAGAAACTTCTGCTTAATTTGTGCCTCATTGTCGGATGTCCTTTACATGACTGTATGTACAGTGTTCTCCCAATTTTAAAACATCCTTAGAGGGACCAGTCATTATTTATGTGGGGGGGTGGGTTTTTTTTTTTTGTTTTAGCATGAAAGAAAAAACTTAGCCCACCTCTTTAAGCCCATTAGTTAATTCTTGACCCACCCCCATATAACTTTATATGAGAGGTGACCCACCTCCAACCCCCTTCAATCTATACCTCTGTAAGGAGTTCCTGTTCACTGAACAAAATCAGCATATCTTGTGGACCAGTGTCCTACTCTGCGGCCACTGCGACAGTTATATTAAGAAAAGGAAGCATGCAAGCCTTCTCAATAGGGTTTATGTTTATTTATTGATATTTAGTGTTCACATGTTTGATTCTCCATACTTGGGTTGGATTGCTACATGTGACATCCAGTTGTGTTATATTTTATNCCCCCCCCCCCCCCCACATAAATAATGACCGGTCCCCTAGGGAGAAGAAGTTAATTGTTTGTTTTAAGTAAAGGACAATTTGTTCAAATTATAATATAATTTAGGTGCTCTGGAAAGGGAACTCTGTTTGGTTCAAATTATCTCCTACAGGTTTGAAAGACATTGTTTATCTGTATCAGGATTCTATTTTTCATATACCTTATATGTATTTGCAAAGAAATAACTAACGTTTTACATTTTTCTTTTTAGTAAGGAAGAAGGTGTTATAAGAACCATGGAAGCTCCAAAAGTAAGTTATCCAATCTTTGATAAGGTTTAATTGTTACCATTTGTTACCTTTACAATGAAAAATTAAAAGTCTATGATTATGATGATGATGATTATTATTATTATCATTTTTGTAACATGTATGTTGTAGTTAATTTTTTAATTCAGGTGATTTTTGTTTGTCTTTTGTGTTTGGGTATGGTAATATATGCTGATGAAGTTGAAACAAAAGAAAAAGAGAAATTACCTGAGATAAAAAAATTAACTACAACATGTACATCCTAGGAATTTTTAGTTTGTGTGCAGATACAATGTAAATGTACATGTGAGTAAAGAGTACTGCATGATTGGACACTTTTACAGAGCACTTGCACCACTCATGAGTTTGAAATAACGAAAGGTTATGCAACTGATATGTTTTATAAATAAAATGAAGCTGACTGTAAAGGCTGTGAAATTGGGAGAACTGTCTTATTACATGTAGTTCCTAAAACAGTCAACTCTCTTTAACTGCACACTGCTCCATTGTACAAGATTGACATCTCCCTAAAACAGGTACATGTAGTTAGACCCTGCTGCTCTTGAATGATTTTATTTGAGATGGATACATCTTCAAGATAGGTGTTTAGGCAGTTTCTTTTGTGTCTGTCTTAATTGAGTTGATGTCTGTTCCTACTGTTTCCCAAATACATGTACAGTCTGTATAGGGCTTCTGATATTTCGCGCGGTCGCAGAGCCGCGAAACTCGGGTAAAATCTGCAAAATCTTGCGAAATTTACAAAAACACACAAAATACCGTGAAATTCGGTATAAATCTTATCGAATACATGTCGGTACAGCATTTTTGAAACTTATCTCAGCTATTGCGGCTGTTTACTTGCTGTAAACTTGCAAATTTATCTTGAAACTTCGTCACTGAAATGTGCAAACAAAGTCCGAAACTACCAGGCATAGATTATGTTGCGAAAAACTGGGTACTAGCCATGATGGTAAAGGCTTTGCCATTGGTTCATTTCTGGAGCATATTGTTTTTGAAAGAGCAAATGATGACCTCTGTTAGAAAAACATTAAAAGCGCTGGTCTGATCAGTGCAAAACCAATGGATTGCTAGAGAAATTTGCCCCAAAAATAACTACAAAATCTGCCGTTTCTTTACCGATTGCTCTTCAGTGAAGTTTGCCTCAGAAAATTCCAGCAAAATCGACCCATTTTTCCACAAATTTGTCCCTAAGAATCCCACGAAATTTGACTTTTTTTTCTGCGACCTATCAGAAGCCCTGTCTGTAACCCTAATGACAGCAGACTGTTTAAACTCTCCCTCCTTCATACATTGTCTTTCTGCTTGATGTTAAATCAATCTTCTTCTTGCTTGTAATTTGAACTGGTGCCAAAACATTTCACATAGAAAATTAGTATCCATTTATTTTTGCTCCAAATGATGCATGCACCAAGGGCTACCCCTGTCTTTTTAGATACAAAATTAAGCTAATACCAATATGTCATGGTTTCTCCCATATTGACCATGTAGATGATGTTGTTTTGTTCTCTTTATAGCTTCTCAAAGCTCTACCTGTCCTGCAACAACAGATTGATGCCTTACTTGAAGTAGATGTAAGTATCATTTATGGTTGTGTTTGCTCTTTTATTGCTAATTGGTGTTTATTTTTGTTACCTTTTTGATGTTTTGGTCTTGTAATTTAAAATACAGCAGTACAAGGCTCGAAATAATTTCCGGTGAGTCTCCGGAGGCGATGACTGGCCAAATTCATTCTAGTGCGATCACATATTGTTTCTGGCCGGTCAAATTTATGAGATAAATAACTCTTAAAACAAGGGTCCATGAACCAAAACTGGCTTTATATATTTCCAAAAAACAGAGCCTCTGATATTTCTCGGGGTTGTGGAGTGGCGAAATTCAGGTAAATCCACGAAATCCAGCGAAATTTGCTAGAAATCTTATCAAATACGTGTCAAATACAACATATTTGAAAGTTATCTTGGCTGTATTCAGTATATTGAGGCTGTTTAATTGCCATAAACTTCATCACCACAAGGTGCAAACAACGTTCCAAAACTACCAGGCGTAAATTATGTCATAAAAAAAATGAGCACTAGTCATGATGTTAAAAGCTTTGCAGTTGGCTCATTTCTCGAGTGCTTTATTGTTAAAATAGCAAATGATTATCTCTGTTGAAAAACATTAAACACACTCGTCAGATCAGTGCAAAATTGATTTATTTCTAGCAAAATTTGCCAAGAAAATTCCCATGAAATCGGCCATTTTTTTACCGATTGTTTTTTTTGGCGAAGTTAGCCCTGAAAATTTCAGTGAAATTAGCCAATTTTTTCGCAAATCTGTCTCTGAAAATGCCACGAAACTTGACTTTTTTTTCCGTGACCTTTCAAAAGCCCTGAAAAAAGTTGTTGTTTAACAAATAAAAGTGAAAATATTTTTAATTTTGTGACCAGAAGTGCGTGAACCCCAATGTCTATTTCCATGCCCGAAAATAATGGTCTAGTTGCATTTCACTCAGGATTACAGATCAAAGTTCCGCAATACACAGCGACTTGCTACATACTGATAACAACTGAAACAACTGAACATCATGGAAATTTTGATTTATTTTATTTTCAATACGATCAAATGTGACCAGACAACATGACTGGCAAGATGAAAGGTTGACCGGTCAACTCCCCAATCAGTCCGGACATTGTCCATTGACCGAGCCCTACAGACACAAAGCAGACCTGTGCTGAACCACTTTACCATGCCTTCTCCAGGGGACTCTTATTACCTTGTACTCTGCACAATAGTTCAACAAAAACATAGCCACACAATGAAATATTGTACATGCACATGTGTCTTTTAACATTCTTTTGTGAATTAAAACTGTGTGGTTTGAATGCAAGCTATCTTGTATTTCTGATGTGTACAGTGCATGAATGTGATCTGCTGTCCACAATTTAAAAAGTTTATATCCTTTTACCCTAATTATTTTACTTTCTCTATAGATAAAGTCAAGTGAACTAACAAATGGTGTGATAAACGGTGTATTTGTACTCCTGTTTAAGGTATTGGAGAGAAGTTCCTTTTTACGTTGTTGTTTCTTATTAACAGAATATTTTGCCTGTTGGTTTTTGTTAGTAAATCTGTAACCAATCATTTTGCTGGGCTGGCAGAATTCAGCCATCTTGTACACTGACAGAAGAGAAAGTTTGTGTGTGCCTGCTGATAAGAAAATGACACCTCTATCTCTCTTTAAAAAGCATGTGTTTGTTGGGACTGTGTGAGAATCCTGGAAAATACATTATTGTATCTTCATTAAGGCACCTTTTGCAACTGTTTTTTTTACTCTATACGAATACAGTGGTCCAATTTAGGAAATGGCTTTTCTTTCCTTCTTGTTAAATATATGCTGTGAATATGTTCTATGCAAAGACCATTAACGTAAGTAAGAAGCTTATAGGCACAAGTACAGCTGTTACAAAGTAATAAGCTGGCTTTTAAGGTAAGCAAAGGTGGGAAACAGTTCTCACATGTACGTGTCTTGCTTGTGTTGCTCACTTTGCCAACTTGTATAATGTCTTTTCACCAATATCTGAAACAATGTATTATAATTTGCTGTGAATTCAGCCATTTCAAATAATTTTTAGATTTCAGTTAGGGCACTTCTTCTCTCTGTTATTAATAGTTATGTAGGATAATTGTTGTAGATTTGACATTGTTTTTGCAATATACTTTCAGGATTTGATCAAACTATTTGCTTGCTACAATGATGGTATAATAAATTTGCTTGGTGAGTAGTGCATGCTTGTGTCCAGTATGTAACTTTGTGCATGCGGTGTACATTAATAGTATAATGTGATAGGATAATAGTGAGTTTAAGCAGCAAAGGTGGCTATGGTAATGAGAACAGCAAAAAAGCAATAGGTTTTATGAGCATACATGTGCATGTAAGAACATTTTTGCACACACATCATGCTTTTTGTACATTTCTCTGCTGTTCCTGAACGCGAACACGGAGAAAAATTTTCTTTTTCTTTTTCTAAACTTAGATACAGACCTTTAGGACTCAGTTCTAGAAATATTTGCTAACAATTTACAAATTGGTTGAGAAGAAACAAGGTCGATGAAGTTTGTAACAGTGTGAACATTATTTTTTATTATTTTTTAATAATAGAAAAGTACTTTGACATGAACAAGAAAAACTGTAAGGATGGCCTGGACATATATAAAAAATTTATTACAAGAATGGATAGAGTATCTGACTTTTTAAAAGTTGCCGAGGATGTGGGTTTTGACAAAGATGATATTCCTGATCTTAGCAAGGTAGGCAGAATTAAGCAGCAACTTGTTTGTAGGCAACAGAGAAACTATTCAAAAAATCAAACAAAATAGCCCAAAATATGCCTGTGTCTTCAGTGTACATACAGACATTAGCAAAATCAAACCAGAACCAGCAAAACTCCCAAAAGGGATTTTGTTACAAATAGTTATGGTGAGTACTGGGACTCATTTTATTTGTGAAAAATCGTGAGTCCTAGTCCAGAACCATTAAAACCAAGCTAAAAAACAATAGTTCTAAATTGACAATGCTTGGGCCTTTTTGTAGCCAGACTGTTTTAACACCAAAATTCTGTCAGTCCTTCTATTACTAGTGCAACAAAGACTAAAAGAAATATGTTTCGTTAAAATCATATGAACAGGATATTCAACAAAATTATCTTCAGATTGATTGATTAATACTTGCATCCTATGGAACACATGCTATGAATTATTTTGCATTTTTGGAAACAGGGATGTAGGGTACAGAGTAAAAAAATCACTGCACCAAAACCCTTGGGACCAGTACAGTCAAAGTTTTTTATAAGCGAACACCCAAAATGTGAAGAGTTGCAGACTGTAGTGGTTGCATACCAGAGGTGGTTACTTACAGGGATTGGTCCCCAGGGGGTCCCTTCCAAGAGGAGATCCCAATACATCTTGGTTCTTCACTTACTCTGAGTAGTGTAGTACACACAGTAGATCAGAGATCAGACCATGAGTCAAGTAGTTGTTTACAAGGGAGTAAAAACAATTGAAAATTATAGAAGCGTCAGCCCAAAAGGTGGTTGCTTACAAGAGGTTCTAACTATTAGGGTTTGACTGGAAAGTTTTGGTGTTTTGGTAGGTGGTCACCTACGAGAGGTGGTCGCATGTGGGGGTTCGACTACATTAGATTCTGATAAACTGCTCACCCACTTCAACAATATATAATAACAATACAATAATAACCCAACAACCCGACCCAAAGTCTTGCCCTACAGTGCACATGTACATCTAAGTGCCTAAGTGAGAAGTTATTGTTAATGCATGTTGGAACTGTTTCTCCAGACAGTAAACTCACGCTCACGATAAAGAACAGAACTGTTTTAATGCTTCTAACTCTCTCTAGGTAAAGATTACAACTCTTGCCATGTGCTTTTTTCTGCTGATCCATCACTTCTTGGAGTGACATCCTATAATATCCATGATCCTAACTCCCAGGCCCCAACGACCTTAGGGAGTGCCTGACTAGTGTACAAAGTAAAAAAAACTTTAACAAAACATTCTTAACATCCCAGTATCAACTGACAAATTCTCAAAATACAGTAGGCGGGCAGTTTTGCAGATTCTTATACTTATCTTGGTTGGTCTAAATAAATATTGTAATATCAGACTTGTTGAAATGTGAAAGTCAACTACTGGTCTACGTGTTCTTTTGTGTCAGGCACCTAACAGTCTTTTGGATGCCCTTGAAAATCATCTACAATCTCTGGAAAAAGGCAAGACGAGCAATCCACCCACATCAAAGTAAGTGCCTTTCATTGTTGATAATAATCCTTTCAAACATTCCTTTAAACAGGGTCACTAATCCAAGGTTTGGGGTGATTTGTAAGAAAATGCCACCTGAAGCTGCCTCCTCATTTCTTTGTGGTTGCTCACTCGAGTGGAATGCAGGAGAGGTTAGGGTTAGGGTAGAAATCTGGCTCATTAAAGTGTTTTTTACCATGTGAGTGCCTGAAACACAGGTCACTACATTGCAAACTAATGTTTTGAAGAAAGGAGACAAGTTGGACAAAGACTTACTATGTTGTCAATGTATCATGTTTCTATCTAAGGAGCCAGTTCAAACATTTCTGTTGACATTTTAATAGCCAGGTAAAATCCTCCCTCTCATTCTGACATCCTCTAAAATTACTGACAACTATATACACATGTGCTTGCAACTGTAACTAAAAAATTCCGAAAATGTTATCACCAAAATCTTATCACCACAATTGTTTTCATAATTTGTTTTCTCATGATTAATTTTGATTAGAGTTCATGCACAGTTTGAAATGCGGATTTGGTTATTAAGAAATAACAATATATTTTATTCTTTTTCATTTTTGTCAGACCTCTAACAATCCCCAGCATCACTCTTCCTCCATCTGCTACGGATGCTTTCAGTGCTGGCAAGTTCACAATGAAGTTTGAAGGAGATGATTCTGTGGACACTGCTCCAAAAAGTGACCTTCTTGAAGAGGAAGAAAGATATCTTGAAGCTTTCAAGGTAAGCAGAGATTGAATGAACATTCAGTTTCTTGCAATTTCTCTAACACATTGGCTTAGCTTCATAAGAAATTAACATCTCTATTCATCTTAATGCAATGGCCTCCTTACTTGAATGTATAACTAAAGCTTGAAATTGTAGTAAATAATATTAATGACAAGTAATGGTAACTGGACTGAGTGGAATCCAATATTCAGTCTGTAATCATACAAGTGATTAACAAAATCGGACGATTGCAAAGCGGGAGTTCGATTTGTTTAGTCTTATTAATCATAACTTTAACAAAATTTGTGATATATAAGGGTCTTTTTTAAAATCAAAACACAAGAAATTCCAAGCTATTTATGTGCACGCCTGATGGCATGTACTGTCCTATTAAGGCTGAAATCAGGGCAGTTGATAGCCAGTCAGCTTTGAAAATTTTGTTAGCATTATGATTATAATAATAATAACAATAATGACAATGATAATAATGTTGATGATACTGTAGTGAATGTAATAATAAACACTTTTGTGTACTATTTGGTCAAACCCTGTTAATATGGACTTTGAGGGGGACGTAGAAAGTGTCCGTATTAACTGTGTGTCTGTAGGGCTTTTTCCCCCCAGGGACAAACCAAACTGTCCATAATAATGAGGTGTCCATATTAAGCGGACGTACATGTATGTAAAGTGGGTTTGACTGTTAAAATTTTTCAATCTCTTTTAAATCTTTTAATTTCCTGTTTTCCTTACAATCTCGTACATGCTTCAATCAATCAAATAAAGGCATTTTGTGTCAAATGCCAATCTATGCATACCGGTACTTACATGTATGAAGGTCAAGGCATTTGACGTTTATTTTCGCTTAACCCTTCAAGCCCTAAGAGTGATCAGCATCAAATTTCTCCTTGTAATATCAATGCTTTGTAAAACAGAGTGGTCATGAGAATTACAGACATGATCTCACAAGATGAATTTGCTTGATATTATTTTTATAAACTTCTCCACACTACTTCTGTAGGAAATGAATTGGGGCAGCAAATGAGAATTGAAATTTTGATCTTAGGGTTTAAAGGGTTAAATAAATTAATGTAGAGCACATAAGAAGGCTATACATGTAGATTACTGATTACTGATCATTTCTCTTCTAATCAGAAGGCCAAAGAATCTGGGACTCAGGTGCAAGTACCTGCTGCCCAGCCAGCTCAAGCTAAAAATTGGGAGCCGTTGGGTGAACCAACAGCACCTGTACCTGCCCCAACATCATCTCCTAGTGATGACCTGTTGCAACTTAATGCTGCATTTTCAGTACAGCAATCAAGCTCTACAGCTTTTTCGCAGAGTCCTGCCTTCCCACCTAGCCAGTCCTTCCCTGCGGCTCAAGGATTTGGACAAAGTCCGGCAGTGTCCAATGGCTTTGGTGGGGCACCCCAGGCAGGTCCTTGGGGAGGTTCTGCGGCAACTCCTGGTAAGATTCAATGTTTCGGCTTTAAACAGTTACTTGAAAACTGGATTGATGGGTTTTGCAAACGCATATGCATTAAAACTTTTCCCACACTTTTCCTTCTTAGGTTTTCCCAGTAGTGCCTCTACAAACCCTTTTGACAGCCAAACTAATGATGATTTTGCTGCTGTGTTTGGTCAGCCAGCTGCCGTGGACAGTACTCCAGCCATGGGTGACATTCTAGTTCCTACTGTGTCTAGCACAGGGAAACCAGCACCGGCAGTTGCTGTAGAAAATAACGTGAACACGGATCAGTCAGGGGGCAACTTACATGCTAGCTTAGATAGAGTTGCCAAGTCCTTAGGTGAGATGCCACAGACGAGTCTACATGTACATATATGTTGTTACATTTGCAGGCATGCACTGTAACAAGGGTTTCAATAAAAATTGAAGTAGCCAGTAGGTTTGAATAGAGTAACCGACTGAATCAATAGGGGGCCGTTGGTCCCCTTTTTCTAGACACTTTCTAACCCAGAAAATTTTGAAATTTCAAAGCCCTAAAATGTGATTTTTAGCATTCTGGGGAATGAATTTGAGGACAAAAGAGTGTGTTTTTCATTTTAAAAAAAATGTAGCTTTCAATCTATCAGTCACACAAATCAATTGCTACAAGCAATGAACTATAATTGATGAAAACTAAATTATGTACTTTTGCACGTAAACAAATTCTGCGTAAACCTATAAAGAAACTTGTGAAAAAATGACTGAAAAATAGCATTCACACGACTAAAGCATAACGTAAAACCAGTGGGCCTTTGTGAAAACACATCATAATTATGTTTTCATTCAGATTTTATGATATATTTTTTGTTTACAACGTTATTCAAACTAGTTGCTTCTCCTTCTAGAAAGAAGTAGCTGACATCTATGAACAAAGTCGCGTTTCGTCGGCCACCGGTGCTTATTGAAACCCCTGCTATAATAAATTATCGAACCCTTATTAGTCAATTTCTAGTAGTGCCAGAAATTGTTTGAGTGCGATGTGTTGATTATTTTTGTAAGTACAGAAAACAATAAAAATTGTATGCCTGCCTTGAAGCTGTAGAATGAAGGAATGAGGTTGTAGAGTCTAAATTCCTCTGAATTAGTGGAGGAGTGAAACACAACAAATTACATTGCCTGAGTTGAGCAATTACATAGCCTTGTATCTTCTGCAACAATTTCTCCAGGGTTCGTACAGGCCATGGAAAACATGGAAAGTCATGGAATTTAATTGCCGTTCCTTGAAAGTCATGGAAAATTAAGGTTTTGTGTGGTAGATTAGTTACTGCAGATGAAAATGCATTTAGGTGGATACCAGAGTTTATTTCTTTTTAACTGTTTGAGGTAAAAAAAAATATGCTAAAACGAGTAAAGTTTTGGGAATTTTAGAAAATGACAGCTAAACCCTAAGGTCATGGAAAACTAGAAAAGGACATGAAAAAGTCATGGAAAGTCAAGGAATTTGAAGAACTCAAAGGAGTACAAACCCTGTCTATGTTTCTTGTTTCCTCTTCTTCCATTTGTTTCAAATACTGTTTTTACTACGTGATTATCTAAAGCAGAAAACAGTACACGTTTATTGTTGTTAGGCTACAGTTAGACCATGAGTAGTCCCTTATTTTCCTCAGAATCCACTTGAAAATTGCCACCCTTGAGGAAGGTATTCCTTTCTTTACTTCTATCTTCTCCTTCTGCGTGGCAATTTTCAGATGTGCTTGAGTATTTCCTTTGCTCAACTATCCCTAATGAAACAAAGGGACTACTAGTAGTCTTAGCTACAGTGGATATATGCTTTTATAAAATAACTAAGATAGTACGCATGTTCTGATTGGTTAAAAACCTATGGTTTATTGTGCTGGTAAACTCATGGAAAACTTAAAGTCATTTTATACAAGCATTAGACCACACTTCCTATGGGTTTACTGGCGTGATAACCCACTTGGGATGTTGGGAGAACACTCGGAAAGCTTGTAAATCACTCGCCTTCGGCAAGTAATTTACATGCGTTTCTCGTGTTCTCCCAACGTTCCGCGTGGGTTATCATGCCAGTAAACCCATGGAAAGTGTGGTCTATTGCTGAAATATTTTGGTAATATGTTTGTTCATATGTGTTAGATTCATTGTCATTCAATGGTAACCTGAAGGGTCCATCTGGTAAAGCACAACACCAGTGGACTGCACCAGCACCTCAAAGCAAAACGGGTGGGCCAAACTGGCAGCCACCACCCACCTCAAGAATGTCACTTCTCCAACCAGGAGTGCAGGGAGGTTTTATGGGTGCTACTCAGCCTTCCGTGCAGCAACCAACTGGTTTTAGACCGCCTTTTGCAGCTCAGCCAATGGGACAACCTTTCATGGTGAGCATTAATAATAATGATAATGATAATAATAAATAAATGAATAATAATAATAATAATAATCAGTTTTTTTTGTGGTACATTAATTCTCAGTGTGCTAGCTTGCAAATACAGCCGTTTCTCCTTACTCCTCACCGCTAAGGATGTTTCACCAGGAGGAACAACTGCGCCGCAGCAACAAAAATTCCATACTGATGACGTAATATCTTTCTAGAATCTGGTCAGGAGCTCTTATTGGTTGACATAGTAGTTATATTGTTTTACCTACATTTGTATTGTTTATGAATGACTGATTAAAGGCAAAAGTCCACAAAGGTCAAATGTAAACAGGGTCATAAATGTGATGAATTTACTATAAAACAGTCAATATTCCTGGAATTTATTCTTCTTTAGAAAAAGCATGTGATATTTGCTGGAGCTCATTTCCAGTAGAACACAAAATTTATCCTAATGGAAAAGGAGAAACATAAAATCAAACAAATTTAAACTGTACATTTCTTAACCCCATGACTACCGGATTTATTATGTAAACATTGATTAATGCCATCAGTATGGAATTTCTGTCACTGTGGCGCAGATGTTCCTCCTGGCAAAACGTCACTAGGGGTGAGGAGCAAGGAGAAACGGCTGTATTCGCAAGCTATCAATGTGCTTACTAAGGTAAATTGAATTAAATCTAAGTGAACTACTGTATGTACAGTAATAAAGTTATGTTGATAGTCTTGTTAGATCCCCATCTACACAAGCACAATTATTGTTGTTTGACAATCTTTTGTGATAAATAAGAGAGGGAACGTTGCCCAAATATGTGGCTAATATGCCTGAAATAGCAGTGCTTGGTGATTTATGTCCAGGGTTTGAAGAGATGGGCAGTCAAGAGTCAATGTATGGTCAAAAGAAGACTCTGTCTCACTGATGAAATCCTTAGATGACTGGACACCGTCTTTCGTCGTTTCTAATAGAAAATTTAGCTCTGAAGTTCTTATTTAAAGATATGGGCTCTGGTAAAGAAGTATAGTTTTTAGAACACATCACTTGAAAGTTGCTACAGATCCAGAGTTGTAAATGGTTTTCAAGCTCCCTCTTCTTATGACTTAGTAACTAAGCCTTGGTTTCCAGCATCTGTGTGACGTCATGTCTTGTGTGCAAGAAAAATAACAAATTTTCTTTATAAAAATTGCCATGTAATAGCACATAAACTTTCCCCTGTTGACTTGTATTACACTCTGGAGGGAAGAGGTTGCATACTTCATTTACAGCTATTTTGAGAAAGGTTGTTGGAAAAAAATTTGCACGCAACAGTCCTGAAAGGTAATATGTGACATGATCAATACACTGTCCCGGACATTGTAGCTGTCGAACCTATTTTTGTGGTTTTCCTTTAGCACTTGCAAACATATGCCCGTGGCCTCTTTCGTGGCATTTTTTCAAATTTCTTAGAAGAACAGTGAACTCAAAATCACCCACAATACCTTTAGTGACTCGTGAATGCACTTTTTGTGACAACCTTTCTTGATATGGCTGTAATCTTGTATTTATGTATCTCTTATTGTTTTTTCCTCTTTAGCCTGGCCAACCAGGAGTGTTCCCTCAACAAGGCTCATTTCCATCTCAACCATTTCAGCCTCAGAGACCCACACAGCCCGCAGCAGACCCATTTGGACCAATACCTGGTAGTCAGGTAATTTCTGTGTAGTTACACTTTGTTCAGGCCTTCTGTGAGAGTGCCAAAATATGAGGAAATTATGCTTAATTTTTATAAGGTCACTTAATGCTGCAAAAAGGTTTATTTTGCAGCCAATTTTGCAATTTCTCTGGACTAGATTGGACAGAGAGCATTTATGGTCACAAGATTCTTAACAAATTAATTAGAACATTATATTCAGAGGTTCTACTTCATGGTTCCATAGTCCTAAATTAGCATTTCGGTTTGTTATTGATCAATCTTAACCAGTCTAACATTTTTCACATTTTTTGTTACAGGTTAGATTCTGAATGTGAAACATTCTGTGGTATGACAGATGATAACTTAGCTGATAGATCTGTAATAAGTCTTTTTACATTGTGCCTTAAACGGAATCTTAAGGTAGCAACATTTGTAATAGCCAAGCTATTTTCAAATAACGAGGTTTTGTAATTCACAATTAGGCTCCATAACTCGTTCCCAGACTTTCTTTCCTGAACCCACACTGGGTGGCATTCCCCACTTAAGTACGAGAAGGGAACTGGGGCTGATATTCAGGCCGCAATTGTTTCTGGGATGGTTTTATTGGGAGGAGCCAGTCTACTATTGGCCAATTTTTTTCCCTTCCCTACGAACAATCCCAGAAGTCTTTGCAGAAGTTAACTCGATCCAGTTTTCTTGTCGTTGCTAAAGTGGGAGATAGGGAGAAAATTTTGAACGTGAAGTTATCCGTGAGCATACAGCCCTTACTCTGACAGGTAAAATTGATTCAGCTACTCCTGCATCCAGATATTCTTTGAAATGGTTTGAAAACATTTTAATTGCTGTTATATTATTCAATCCGTGGTTCAAGTCAGGCGATCAACCCCCTTTTCACTCTCAAGAGTTCTAATATCCAAAATTAAGTGTCAATCCTAGTTGTTATAATGTAAAATACTAAATAGAAATAGCACAAAGTGAAGGTAGTCCTGAAGTGGTTTCATTTTAATGGTCACAGCATAGGATTTTAACCACAGATTTACAAGAGGAAAAATTGTTAATAGGACCTCGTGAAATAACTGCTAAAGAGGTTTCACTTGAATGGTCACACCGTAAGATTTCATCCACATACTTTACAACCTAGTTAGTATAAGTAATAGTATGATTTGTAGTGATGTTTGGCATAAATACCAGGAGTGATATTTCGAGTGAAATTTGAGACAATTTCGAAATATCACGAGTAGTATTTATGCCAAATATCACATACAGATCATGCTATTATTTGTTTATACTACTACCCGCAAAAGGTTTGTAATGTTCACATGTAGGTATTTCAAATTAAGCTGAAATACCACTGCTCTAAGCCAATCAAATTGCAGAAATTTCTCATGCAGTAGTATAATACAGCTTCATAAATAGTTGTATGTTAAAGGACTGCTAAAGGGATTTCATTTGTGGCTACACCTTTGGATTTCATCCACAGACTCAAAGGTTAGAATTACACACTGCAGCTGTAGATAAATAGTATCATGTGGAAGTACTGCTGAAGAGGTTTCATTTGTACGGTAACACCATGGGATTTCATCCACAGACTCAACAGTTAGAAGCACATACTAAATAAATATTACCATGTGAAAGTACCGACCGCTGTAGAGGTTTCATTTGTATAGTGACACCATAGGATTTAATTCAAAAACTCAAAATGTAAAAATACAATTATGTCTTCACTTTTGACTTTCGTAGGAACAAGTCTAACGCAAGTCGACCATTAGGTTTCATAATAGTGGGATAAATACATAGAACTTAAAAATTCATGCGCCACTTTAGAAACGAGAGGAAAACTGGGGCTCGTTAACTTTCGCAAAGACTTCAAATAATCTCCGAGAGGAACCATGCATGTTTTAGTACAGGTTGTAATAGAAATTACAAGTTGTATTGCTCCCGATTGCCTCCAAACAAGACTTGCACGTTGAGTTTTGACTGCAGCCCTTTTTTACGGTGACACGGGGCGATTGATATTCGAAGGCATCAAGCTTTTATATTGTTTGCAATTTTCATTGTTTTGACCTCAGTTTAATTGGGGTGAGTTGTTGATTTTGGATTGCATTATCAATTACCGCGTCAGGTAGTGAAAGCACATGGGCTGTGCCTTGTGTCTGTGTAAAGCTGGACTTTAATCTTGATTTGTTATGTTGTACTTGAAAGTGCAATCCGACAAACCATCAATGAATTGTAGTTGTAGCATTTATTTTTCGGTAAACGTTCATGTTTATGTTGAAACTGCTATGTAAAATTAAATTATACTGAGACATCTGTTAGCATATTCGCTTTTCTTTCTCTCCCAGTTACATGTATAACAGAGCTAGGGTCAGATGTCAAACGAAATAGAACTTAAAGTGCATTTACCTGGATCATTGCGCAAGTGTCCAAAATCGAAATTCATCATTTGCAAAACAAAAGAAGTAGAATTATGTGACAGACTGGTGGAGAAGTTTTTCGGTGGCCACACCAAAAGATTTTGTCTGACAGTTTGACCTGGCTGGTACATTACGTCTGATTGGGTTCTGATAATGAAATATTATTTTATGACGTAGTACGAAACTAAAACTATTTAATCATTAGCACTGCATAGTTATCAAGTTGGGATTCTAATGCTCTTTTATACGAAGACGTCTGTTTCACAGGGTACCCAACGCGATCCAGCGAGTTGCTTTATGTTGTCTCAGGTTGCTGAAGTAATTTGGTACATAGGAAGGTATAGCTTTTTATGCAGGTACGGTTTAAGCTCTCGGGACACCTTGGCGCTTAAAGTAGGTATGGACCTTAACATCCGAAGACGGCGAAGGCAGGAAACCCTGATTAAAAAGTCAATTCGTGTTGTTTCAGCCTTCATCGCGATTATTCCAACTCACCACGTTGTCAAATGTAGGCGAACTCTCTTTGAGCTGAATTCCTAAGAACCACATCCAAGTTCAGAAAAAGAAAGAAAATTTCGTCGTGGCTTGTTTACTTCCTCCATGGTAACGTGAAATTAGGAATTTTCACGTCGTAGTCATTGAGTGCCAGCAAAGAAAAGTAACAAAAAATTGCTACACGTGCGAAATTGTCGTTTTGTTAAGTACAGTCGAGTCTCTCTTAACGGACACCTCCGTAAAACGGACACCTAGAGTTGGTCCCCGCCTTTCTTTACTCCCTTTATTTGACTCTCTATAAGACGGACACCTCTCTAAGACGGACACTTAGTGCCGGTCCCAAAGGTGTCCGTCTTAGAGAGAGTTGACTGTAAACCTGTTTTCGTCGTCGGATCGTAAGGTCCCTATTGTTACAGTTGGGAGCTAAGCAACGACGACGACGACGGCAACGAGAACGGTAAAAAAAGCAATAGGTTTAGATTAGAAAAACAACGACTTTGCACGGGCATCACGCTACGCTTACTTGTTTATTTCCTAACCGTTGGTGCACGAGTACGACGTAAAACTTCCTTGTTTTACATTTTATGGAGGACGTGAACGCAGGACAACAATTCTTTTTCCTCTTTTTCTGAACTTAGATAAAGTCCTTTGGAATCAACTCCAGAAACATTCGACACATGAAAAATTGATTGAAATAGAATGACAGAGCTGAAATTTGGAGGCGCGAATTCTATCTTCAAGTGACGTTTTCGTTGCCGTTGCCGTTGCCGTCGTGGTTGCTTAAAGCTCCCTATTGACTTGGGTTCCGGGGGGTGGTGATCATTGTATAATGTATCAGCCAGTAGTGTAAGTATAAATAATACCCAATGATAATGAAGTGTTGTAAACTGAGTGGTGTAAGATAATGAAGATACGCGAATCAGTAATAATAAAATAAATGCCATTCCTATCTCTGTCTTTTCTCTAGTGTGGTAAGAGTCTTCTCCTGTGATTGAACACGCAACCTAGCGGTTTTCGTTGCGTAAGGTCTTTCATTGTCAGGTTTTCTATTTTGGGCGCCGTACTTGTTATTAAAATCCGTTGACTCAGCTGGAGAGAGCTTCTTTCATGACAGTAATGTGTGAGAATGTGGTAACGAGGTCGCTAAGTAAGAAGGCCACGCCTCCTTGACTCAGATCTCCCTTGCTTTCAATGACAGCCCTCTTCTCCTGTCGGCTTTTACTCTCCACCGGTGAAATGTCGAAACCCTCCTGACCAATCTCTGTACATTTCGATTCTTAAACCTTCACGTCATTCGACATTTTTAACCGGATCATTTTTGGGGCGGGGAGTGCTCAGATATAAGAAAAAATAAATTTATTTCATTTTAATACTGCACCGTAATTTCTTGTTTGACAAGCTAAATGTAGAATCGAATGAGAGGAAGTCCCAATGTCGGCCTGACATAGGGACCTTTACATTGAAATAGTTATCTATTTAACAACATTATTATTCATATTCAGTTGTATTAAGGTATGGCACAAATGATTAATCAGCGGACTAAGCCAAGCTGCGACAGCTTTGTAGTAAGACTCTTCGCTGGGTGGGATGATAGGCCGTTCACCTCTGCGTTGCTCCGCTGAGAAATGAGGTAGAATGAGTAATTTCCACGCCAAAACGTTATTTTTTTCAAAGCAAGTCGAGTCCAACCCCTGCCGCTTGTACGGCTTGGAGTGTGTGAAGATATTAATGGGAACTCGGTGCCTAAACTCTTGATTACTTACCTGGGATAATCCCTGGCAATTCTCTTGTAGGGATACTACAATCTGGTGCCTTAGTCTCAGTTAATTATAGAATTTCCTGAAAATTTGGGAAACTCACGAAATTTAACACTCGCGAAGATTAAAATCGCTGTCGCTATCCCCCCCCCCCCCCCCCCCCCCCCCCCCCCCCCCCCCCCCCTCCCCCCCCTTCCTCTCCCCCTACCCCCACCATTTCACTACAAACCTCTTTTAATACTTTCATTATACATTTCTTTTTTTCTCTTTACTCACATATTATTCATTCCTACCTCTATCGATAAAAGATATTTCTCAAATATCAAAATTTTTATACTTTACCCGGGGTAAGCCCTGGCCATTTTCTTTTAGGGAAAAAAAAAATTGGGGGCCTTTTGTTCATTAATTATAGAATTTTTCTAAAAATTGGGAAACACCCGAAAATTTAACCCCCCGAAAAATAAAAACCCGTCCCCCATCCCCCCCCCCCCCCCACCCTTCCGGGATCCCTACTACTTTCCAGGGTATTTACGAGATCCTAACGAGACAATTTACAAGTTAGAATACTTTTGTAAGCCCTTCGTAGCTCTTTCCTCATGAAGCCATATATAATGGGATTGACCACACTGCTGCAGGTAAAAGTTATTATCTGCCAATAATACACCTGTCGCGGAAGAGAATATTGCTCATGAATTGCTTCGTAAAGGTCGAGGCAGATGGAAGGTGTCCAAAACCCAAGGAAGGCAATGACGGTTATGAACAACATTTTCGATATTTTGGCTTCGTTGACGAACGATCTTGAGGCATCTGTCACCAAACCCGACTTTGCAATATCCGCAAAATGTTCCCGAACATTTTTGTAGACTCGAAAGTAGCAGAAAGTCATTGTTGGAAACGTAACAGCGCTGACTGAAAGATAAGCACACAGTGTATAACGATGAACGCCTTTGCTATGAGCCATGTCTGGGAAGCAAAGATATTTTCCGGGATGAAAGCGAAAGGGTTTATTGGTAAACGAGAACAGGGCAACCACTACTGCTATTGAGGCAATCCATGCAAGAATTATGGAGAGCAAAATGTTTCTTTCGCTGTATAGCCTCTGATAGACGCTCATTGGCTTGCAAATTCTGAAATATCGGTTTATAGCGATCAGCGTCATGGTGAAAAGGGAAACATCAACGAAGATGAAAATAAGGCTTCCCTGAACCTGGCACCATGCATCACCGAAAATCCACTTTCCTTTTATCAGAGCCCCAAGGGAGAAAGACATGCACACGAAGGCAAAAAGCATGTCTGCGACTGCCAGACAAGTTATGTAGTAGTTCTGTGGCGCTCTAAATCCTCTAATTTTGTACAGAGACAAACACAAGACAGCATTACCCGTGAAAGCTGACATCACGAGGAAGGCACAGATCGTTGATTCAAACGCGACAGTCCCATCTGTTCTATTTTCCAACGCTGTTGCTAACTCTCTTTCATTCTTTGATGAACCTGCCATAGGGTCGGCCAGGTTTTGCGACAGAGGGTGGAAAAGTAGGAGGATTTAGCAAGGTGCAATAGCCAACAGTCGTCGGAGAAACCAAAAGAACGGAACTCGCATAAAAAGATTCTTCACTGGCACTTCAAATAAGACTCAAAAGGAAAGGAAATTAGATACCTTTAGGACGGACAGGAAGTTGCAAAAGCGGAACTGAACTTTGGATGAAGAACAGGAAGTTTAAGTAGAGTGGAGGCCCCACCACACCCCACGTCAAGTGGCTTTTATTACAGAAGTTATTTCACTGATAAATCAATGGTTAAGTGGCTGATGTAAGCCTTTAAAGAGACTAACGTTGCACTCAAAATAATGGCTCTAAAATGTACATGCTGTACTATCATGGCTATCTCTTCAGTCGTTACCGACAGCAAAAGTTGAGTTGCTTTAAATTTTTTTGCCGTCAGAAATTCCGGATCTCGGGGCTTTAAGGCGACTATTTCCCCGATCCCGCTTTGTAATAACGCTAAATCCCGCGTTCCGTTTATAAATGCAATCCCGAATCGCGCTCCCAATATTCTTTGGAATCCTGAATCCCGGGCTCCAAAAAGGCCAAATCCCGGATCCCGAAAAACCAATGGGGGCCCTGCAACAAACGAAGACTGCAGACTTGCAGACTCAGCTGCAGATTGGCAGGTAAACGAGGTAAATGTTGTAAAATACTTTAAAACATTCCCTGTCCCTAAGCGGGTTTTTGCTACATCCGGGTCTATGATAAAATTGTGTCTCCATAGACAATAAGAACTAGGATAAAACATTTTTGCGAATGGCGCCCGAAAAAAAGCGCGGATTGAAATCCTGGCAAGACTGTTTGCATATTAATCTCAGCTCTCAGATCCCTTACGATATTTTTTCAACGTTTTCGATTTTTAA